TCGGACTTGTATGTTAGGATATAAGATAAATACAAACAGACACGTATGCTCTTTCTTTTGCTTTTATAAGTGATGCGTATGTATATAGCTATAGAGCCGGCAAGTTTCTGTGTATTATATACATACACACACGCGCGCGCACACATCGGAAACTCGAGGCCCTGTAGCAGCTCTCGCGCACGATATTATACATCGTATATATGGTAGGCCTCTGCCTGCGTGCAGCTCGTACACGTATACACGCACTCGTATAACATATAATATGTTTGTGTGTAATATACACATACACATGCACAGCAGCAACGAAACGAGGCCCGCAGTACAAAAATATTTACTGCGAGCCTATATAGCAGCGTATGTACGAAGAACGTGAACTTGCTGCTGCTGTTGCGCACCAAGTGCATGAATTTCTCCACAGTCCACACACACGCTTTGGATTCACTGCACCGCTGCTGCTGCTGCTACCACTGCACTTCTTCTTCCGCAATTTCCTTGGTAAGCTGCCAAAAGATGATATATCTCCGAGCCAGAGGAAGGAGGCACATTTTGCCCATAGCGAGGAGATAATAAAATATTTCGATTTGAAATATCTTTGTTTTATTCGCTGTTCGTTGTCCGACAGAGAACGAAACCTCTCGATGCTGCACAACGCGGGGCCTAGCTCGTCGAGGGAAATATGTCATAATCACGTATTTGGGCTTTGGATTTTGAACGACGATGCCTATGTATGTATGCGCATCGTTGCTCGAGGCATTGTTCGGGTATATGATTTGTCGCGCGGGCGGACAAAAAAAATGAAATATATAACGAGAGAGTCGCGAACGAGTCCATCATAATTAAGTGGGTAAAATTAAAAGGCGAACGATCGATGGGTTGCGTTATAGTATAGTAGTGGTAGTAGGGCTTCGTTAACGCCACGGCCCAATATAAACGAATCAAGGCAATTAATCTTTTTTTGCTCTCGCGAGAGAGCAGCGAAAGATGAATTATTGCCTCGTGTATATTATACTATAGGTACATTAAGGTAGCAGCCCCGGTCCACGGAGCGATCTCGATTCATTCGTTTTTTTTTATTATTGCCTGTTTGCCTCTCTCGCTCGCGAGTAATTGTATTTTTCTCGAGGCGCACGCTGTATTATATATAAAAATGACTCGGCTCGAAGCACAATGTAATATCTACATACACGAGTATATAGAGCAGAGTGTGCGTGTGCGCCCCGCGCATATATATACCTATACACAAGCTCGACAAAGGCAGTTAGCTGAAAAGGAGCCGAGGTGCTGCAGAAGAGAGCAGCAGCAGAAAAGCATCGGTCTTGGATGCAGCAGCAGCAGCAGCAGCAGGCCCAAAGTCGAGAATCCGTGCAAATACGCTGCCTGACTGGCCTGCGAGCCGAGGTGCACCTGATACGACGCACCTGCTCTTTCTGTCTCTCGCTCCAGCTCCTTCTCTCTCTCGCGCATAGCGGTATAATACGAACTAGCGGACTGTGCACTCGCAGCAGCAGCAGCAGCAGCTCTGCTTTAATCACTGCAACGCATATGAGCCGCAGTGCCGATCGAGCGTGATGCGCTTCGCAGGTACAAGATATGTAACGTGAAATTCAAGTAAATTAACTTTTAGGGGTCTTAGCTGTATTAGCTGCTGACTCAACGAAAGCTCCCTATATCCTTTTCTCTATGCATTTTTTGTACCAAGTTTGAGTTTCTCAACATCAAAACAGAATTCAAAAATTATGAATTCTCACGGATGACGGACTCGAGCAGGTTGTTGTAGTCTTTCTTACGGGATATAAGAAAAAGGATGCCATCGTATGATTGTTGAACACTTTGAGTCAAAACTAATTGAATTCCTGAAAAACGCTGAAAAGCGAGTCAAAAAAATCTATATCTATATAATAAAGCGGTATGTATGTGTGAAGGTGCAGCATTAATTCGGAGTCTCGTCTTGTCGTTTCGAATTGTTTCGCTGCTTTGGTATAGCAGCAGCATCAGCGAGCTGATGTCTCGATATCTGCACGAGCTATAAAGCAGAGGAGGCCCCAAGAAGCTCGAGTTTGGAGTTCGAGAAAGAGAGAGAGAGAGAGAGAGAGAGACAGCGCGAAACGAGGCAGGTGTGCGCCGCGGCTCGATGCAATGACACTCCCTCGGGCTCCCTCGATTCCTGCCAAGCTACACACATATATACGCTCGCTTATAAACAGAGAGGAAGAGAGAGAAAGCCTCGCTCGCATCTCGTCTTCGCACGATGCCACTGCTACTCGGACACGACTCGCATTAATTCCGAGTCGACTTTCGGCCAGTGGCAGTTCTGGCAAGAAAATCAAGCAGCACAGGCCGGCGCATCTTTCGCTTGGCTCGTTCATTGTCATCGTCGTTCGTAATACTCATAAGAATTGCATGGCGTAACTGGTTTCGCGCCTCCTCTTCGATTCGAGGTTACGTTTTCCTATTTTACTGCAAATATGAGTATGCGAATGTATTGACGCGCGCGTGCATAGTGCAGGAGCGAGTTCATCGACACAATTCACCAGCCAATTGTCACAAATCTATGCGATGCATCTTCATTTTTTAGCGTGTCCATATTAAAGTACTACATGTATTCATGCACTACTATAAAAACAATCAATGGAAACAGAAAATAAAGGCGTTGCTTATTACAAAAACGTTTAAATAACAAATCCGAGTCAAATTTCGTAGCTGATAGTCATTCATCGATTTAAATCGCTTTTAATTACGCTCCTATAATTATTGGATACACGCAGCTTTTGGCTTCGACGGCGAGTTTTCATTCACTTGTAACAAATGTCAACGAGGCAATGCCAAGATACACTTTTCACTGTGACATCGACACACCCCAGTCGTGCAAGCCCCGAAAAGTCAGTCGCTGCCGACGTTACGCAGCGAGCTAGGTTAGAAACCGTCGAGAGTCGCGGAAAATTTTAATGATCCTGACTCGAAGAGGTTGTCCGGTGTCAAGTGCGTTACAGGCTGCGAACCTGTTTACAATCATAAATAGAGAATAAGGAGCAGCAGCCACGAGAAGCTCTATGTAAAGCAGCAGATGTCAAACAAACATTGGCTTTACTTATATATAGTGGAGCAGCTGAGCCGAATGAAACATCGTTGCGGCACAACAGAGACTAGTTAAAGAAAACTCGGATCGGTTTGATTCGAACGAAAGACGAGATCCGTCAGTTTTGACACATTAATCAAGCCGTGCATTACATCATAGACAGTTGTATCGGCTCGTGGGCGCGAAAGCTCATGATCGTGTGTGCAGAAAAGCACGCGATGCTTGTCACTCGGAGAGCTCGAGCGAGAGGCAGCACCGTCCAAGCTCGAACGAAGCGACTGGTGCCAACGAACCAAAACACACGGGGGGCTGTGACGAAGAGCTTCAAAGCTCTCTCCGACCATCGGACTTTCGGCAGCGGTGAACTTTGCCCCGTTGTATAAAAGCCCAAGCCGTCTGTCGCGTCAAAATAGTAAACACACGAGCGCGCCGAACAACGAACAAAGTAGTAGGAGAGAGAGCGCGAAAAAGAGCGCGCGGAGAGAGAGACAGAAAGAGAAAGCTCGGTCGTGTTGCAGAAACGCCGCTGCACTGCAGAACACACGCGACTCGCGGGACAAGTCGTCGACGGTCGTCCGTCTTCGCGTCGCGCCTTCTAGTCTACTGATCAGTGTAATGCTCTGGGCCATGACTTACCGCTCTGCTTATTGGCGATTTTGTTGAAGCAGTTCTGAAAGACCTCGTAGAGATGCAGCGGCTCGTCGTCACTAGCCGCCATGTTTCCCCGACCGAAGCTTCCAACTGTTCGAGTCGAGGCTCTGGCACACTGCGTGCGGGAAATATAATCGGCCGCCTGCAATTCTACAATTCAAGTACACACTGACACTGCTGCTGCTGCTGCTGCTGCGGCCTCGTGTGCTTCAGCGAGTCGACCGCTCCGGGCTCGCGAGAGCAGCACCGACCAACAAAGACGCGCTATATGCGATGCGAGCAACCCCAAATAATAGCAGTCCTTGCGACGCTTGCGAGAACTGCAGACTGCACCCTGCAGCCTCCCCATTTGGTACGCAGCATCAGCAGCAGTGTAGAAGTAGTAGTAGTAGTAGTAGTAGTAGTTTATCTGAGCGATTTTGCACGTTGCAGCCGCTCAAAGCGCTTGTTCTCCTCGTGCGCGGCTAATATAGCCTGGTATTTACCAATTTCCATTTTATTGGCATTGGCCTTTCGGCTCTCGCTCGCGCACTGGCCACCTAACGACATCTTACGTCATAATTGACAATTATCGGCTCACTCGCACTTCTAAGCCGAATGGCGAGCACTGAACTCACTAAATAGTCGGGACAACATCAATTACGCTCCTTATAAATATTTTTAATAAAAACATTCATGTACAATTCGGTAACAAAACCATTTTATATTATTACAAATTTTTACGTGAGTGTATTGTTCGCGTACAAAACCATACAATTGAAACGTACAATCATTTTTCTGTGACGACAATTTTTTCATTACAATATCTACAATTAGCTCAAAAATGTGATTTCAATGTGTTTTTTAAGCACATATCTTTTTAAAAATTCCAATCGTGAAGTAGAGTACTTTTTTCTTCATTTTTGTACATTCTATTCTCTATGAAAAATATAAATAGTGTATTTTTTCTGTGAAATATATAAATTCATTGGTTTTTATTATAATATAATATATTATAAAAATTTATAAACAGCATGAAAACATATGCAGACTTTAATTTGTGAAATATTTTAATGATTGATAAAAATATTTCATATTTGCAGTAAAAATTGAATACAGCAAAAATTAAGTACAGCTTATTTTTGCCACTATAAGTTGATTTGTCATTGTGTCATTCGATACACGCTAATTATCACGTGACACTCTAATTAATAAGTATATACTATATTTCTACATAACAACAAAATAAATTACAAATTTAATATTCTGAACTACTTTTAAAAGTACAAAATAATATTGAGTATAGTTGGCAATGTTAAAAATTATTATACTTTCAGTATTAATCTTGAGAAAAATGTTTGAAAGTCTTAAAGCTTTTTTGTAACACAAAATTCATATCGAAATGGAAAATTTAGTAAAAAATTGATTCGTTTGTTGCATTTGGAAAATTATATAGACTGTTACTCATAAAAAGCTCATAAATTAAAAAAAAAGCTAAGTAATGCTCTTTTATATTAAAAGCAACGAGTGACAGAATCTGATAAAACTTCAAGCTCTAGCGAAATCTGAATTTTGTGGAACTGGATGTGAAATGTCTTCATAATCTTGTCTTCCAAGACCTAATACATTAAATTAATTTAGTAAATTAATAAATAATCCCATTATATTTATATTATACATATTATTTTTGAGTTTCTGTACCCATTGGTGAACTGGTGAAGATTGTAGAAAGAGCTCCACCTCTAGCTTGACCAATTCGAAGCAAATATATAGTTGTTAAAACACGTGCAATCATGTTAATTATGACCATGCTGGCGCTAAACTTGATATATGAAGCTGTAAGATATAAAAGTCATATAATTAATCAGAAATTGATTTAAATGTAATAATTGAAAAAGTATTTACAGCCGCTAAAAGGTGAGTGAACAATCAAATTGATAAAGTCCAAAAACTCTGAAGTCACACTAATGAACAGAGCCTGCAAATAAAATAAATAAAATTTTTAATAACTTGAATGAGGTATTTTGTTTTCTAAAACTATAGATCTTAACATGAGTATCACAATCAAAAAGTGAAATATCACTTGTACTTACAAATTGAATAGGCTCATCTGACTCAGCACTATGGACTGCCCACAATAAACATAGGAAGTATAACAAGTTATAAAATATCATGGACTCTGAGTAGTATGTACTGTCTATGGACCTGTGAAAAAAAATTGCCACTTGATTAGTAATGCTATAAAATTGTTTGACATAAAGACATTTAAAATAGTCTTACCATGCAACAAGTAGAAAATGTATTGCAAAAATGGCCTGAAAAATAATCAAATAGTTATTATAAAATGAAAAGATGAATAAAAATATAAAATAGCGTTAATTTTCATCAAGTTTAAGGTGAGTTTGTAACAGTAAACATAGTGCATATAAAATCCCCACAAGTGGAATTTCTGATGCAAAGTAGCTAGGATGTGTTATGTAAAAAGTTGTTCATCTCGTGAACTAGTCATGCAACTTGTAACATGATGCTAGATATGTGGTTTGATATTATTATGGTCGCACAATAAGTTGGAGTGTCCACACGGAGAAAACCGATATAAATACTCAAATTTCAAAGGACGAAAAAAGTATTTATTTGTCAATAATATGAGCTGAACAGAAGGAGCGTAGCGTAAAATATTTGTAGCAATAATAATTTAGAATTGCTATGGATAAAAAGAATGAGTAAGACGCGACGATCGCGCGCTCGAATATCAGCGAAACGAGCGAGTTTTGTTTTTGAATCACGTAGCCGAGGTTGGCGTGTTCAAGGCATTCATTACATCGTTAAGTAGGCGTGTTGTATTTGCCTTTATTAAGTCTCTATCGGGTGGGCTATTAATATATAAGAGGTGCGAATGGTGCCTTACCTTTAAAGAAAAGTGCGAGACATTTCGCGTTACGTCCCTCATGGCGATTTCTGGATAAGACGCCGTCGTTGTTGCAGTCTAACTAAGACGAGATTGAAATATAGGCAAAAGGAGGCGATCAGCGCTCTGGACACACGATCGCAACTGCGGCGCAGGAGTGCACGTACTACGTATACGATATCGTGTTATTGTCGCGCGCTGCAGCAGCACGGGAGCACTGAAGGCAAATTATTCGCAGCAGTCAGTCGTTGGTCGTGCGCACATATAGACGTACAAGCCTACCTACTTGCAGTCTGCAACGCGGCGGAGCTGGAGCGGTGTCGTCGTGCGTGTGCGATCGGCTTCTGCTCGCGCGAGGTGTGTAGGTATATTAAACACGCACACATGCATGTAAACACATAAGAAACAACAACAACGAGCGGCTCACCGCGTGAACGTCACTTGCAGCGCAGCACGCATAATATCGGATATACGAGTCTATGGGCGCTCAGCTATACGTCCAGTGTCCAGTGTGTGAGACTGGGGCTGCTGCACTTGTATAGTCTCTTTCGTCGTCGCATTTAGCTATACCCACACCATACATATACTTACGTATATCGCACGTTGATGTGCAGCAGAGCTATAATACGTAACGCGCCGCGAGAGACTCTATGCAGCAGCGTTGCAGGCGGATTCGCATTTCGTCTATACCTATACTTGACCGCTACCTATGGATGTATGTATATGTGCTTGCGGAAAGCAAAGCCGTGTATGTATGGGAAATGCATAGGTGTGCGTTGGTGAACTACAAGTTGTATTTACCGACCGGCGACTGTAGCCGACTGATATATAGGGTTCCGCGCGCGCGTTCGCTTTGCATTGGCCGAGACTGCTGCCATCTGCAGACACGCTAATTCAATTATAATTACGATAAAACCTCACCTGCTCGAGCTGAACTCGCGTCAAGTTCACCTGTGTGTTGAACTTTGCTGTTTACGATATGTGCGCATCTTCCGACGAGCAGTAAGGGCGCAGCGACAAGTCTTCGGTCATCGTACGCTTAAGCGGCATGGCTTTATCTGCAGATTATACGAATGACGGGGCTGTTCGGAGCTATATTCCTACCTATAGCTCGCTTGCTTTATTTCATTTTCCTTTTTCTATCCAACTTTCGCCTATCGTGTTTCGCATTCGTCCAAGTTGATGAAAAAAGAAAATCAAAGTGACGTGCGAGCGACTGAACGAGTATAAAAGCAACTTTCGATCTCGCAATTGCGGTTCGTTTCCGTCTGAGAAAAATAGAGTAGGCGGAGAAAAGTTGCTGCTTGCGAATGAAATATAGGGACCACTTGAAAACTGTAAAAAGCTCGCGATTATGTATAAAAAAAGTTCAAACTTCTAGTCTCGGATCGCACCAAAAAATTTGATTGCCGGCAAATTTTTCAGCGCGCGACAATTGACCATCGAAACTATGGATTTGTGATAAACGTCAAAAAAGTTCATTAAATCGCAGTTAAAAAACGCGTAGGCTTGCAGTATCGTATAATTTATAAATAAATCGGTGTTCCAGCCAACTCGAGACGAAATGCGAATTCGTAACTCGATCCTCGAAGGTGTCTGTGTGCAAGCGCGCGTTCGAGTATACCTACAAACGTTACGGATCGTGTATGGGAGGTGTACGATATACAGTATACACGGGAGTACTTCGTCCTTGCGGCTTGGCGGCCTTGGCTCCTCGGCGCGTCCTCTCGCACAGGCCTCTGCCCTCTCGACTTGGCAGACGGCAATTCGGCGCGCGACTCGACTCTCTACGCCGCGCATCTGTGCAGTGCTTCTCATGACATGCTGCGTATTGCAGTTGGCTGTTGGGTGCGCGTCGCGTTGCACTGCACGCTGCATCGCCGGTGGCCCATCGTTTAGGCTCCTATACGTCTACGTCTCCTGCGACTCGGTGAAACGCGGCATAAACAAAGAATCTAATTCGAGCATGAACGCGCGTCGATCGACTATTATTCAAAGTATTCTACCAACCGGGCAGAAATTAATGGCTAGAGGATTTATCGCAGCTGCAGCGGACCGAGTGAGCCTGCATTACTGCTGCCTGTTGACAAGTGTCAGTTGATTGTCAAAGAGCTCACCGGCGAGTGCCATTTAAAGCTCATCGTGGCTTCGGTCAAATTTCTCGAACGAACTACCTCGAAGTAATCCAAAACGACTATTCAGACAAGCCCCGGCGTTTACTATACCAGAGTGCAGTGCAGAACAGCAAGTTCAGTCTGTAGCAGTTCGCAGTGGATGATCGAAGAGCGACTGCCACTAGCAGAGACGCGCCGACATAACCCTAAATTGGCATTTCGGAGTCGCCGAGGCCAAAGACGAATCGCGTACGAGGTCAGCCGCGGAGAGTCGGCTTTCACTGCAGGGATACTGAGGAGGTGTGCGGTGCAGCGAGTAAAATTACCGAAAAATTGCTTGACAGCGGCGTGTCGCGGTGTCGACTCGTTATCGTGTGTCGCGCGCATGTATGCAGGCCGATTACAGTGAACTCTCGGTGACGAGTGATGCGTCGCACGGATTTGTTTTTCGCTCGCATAGAGGGAAAACTAATACGAAAGAGACAAGGACTGCGCAGATAAGAAAGGAGTCGGGCAGTCCTCGAATCCAAGCCGCTGCTGGCCCGACTGCGTTCAGCGGGTCACATTTGCAGTTGGCCGCGCGCAGACAGACAACTAGACGAGTCAGTCTCTCTCTTTCTCTCTCTCTCTCTCTCTGGCTGGCTATGGAACGGAGCATTAGCCTACGCCTGCCGACTGCTAAACTCGATACTCTCGGCAGCGTGTCGTCGTTCGCGCCTATAACGTGCAGGGGCCGCGCAGCCGACGAATAGAATAGTCGCAGCCAGCCGCCGCCGAGGCAGTCGAGCAGCGAACCTCTCGCTGAATATACACGCACGCATAGTACAAGTTGTTGGTGTCGTAGCCGCCGCCACCACCGCCACTGCCCCCCGTGTGAGAGTGTGATTGTTGTATTTTGTGTGTTTATACGGTATGTAACTAGTTAGGCTGCACTTGTCCGCTCGGCAGCCCTGCTACGCATCCATCGAATTTGGCAGCTCGTCGCCGAGTGCTCCGTACGTATATATTTTATACGCACCCACGCATCGAGTCGGACAGACAGCGCACAAACGAGCATCTCGAGATCGCGACCGAGGAAGATTTTACACGCAGGCGATTGCGATATATTATCTAGTAGACGGAGAGTCGTGCGCGGGCCCCGATCCGCATCGAGCATGTGGAGCTCCGAGGCAGGTCTGCTCTGCTGTCTGTGTCTGGCGACGCTGCTGCTGACGCCCAGCACTCTCGGTGATGGTGAGTATTTTTATTATTATACGAGATCTCGTCTGTCCGCGACTCCGACTCCTTCGTCTGCTATATGCCAGTAAGCGCACTCTGTTTACCCTTATACGCCGCGTCCAGTCTCCCTTATTCTCCGTCTCGTTCGAGTGTGCAATTTGAACATTCGACATTTTAACGTTTCCGACTCGTTTTCTTATTCACTGCTTCGTTCGTCTGCATTTTTACGAGGCAGACTCGTCATTGGCACAGAGTCATCAATCAAGTATAATAAACATTAGCTGCATGCACGCACTTCGCACGACGCTATAATAAACTTTGGAGCGTATCTCGCGTTGCGACGAAGCTGATGCTGCACATTGACAGACACGTCGCACATCGTGCGCCTCGACCATTTCCATGTCTGGAGAATTTCGTGTTTTTCCAGTTTACCGGATAAATGCGGATAAATGCGAGAGAAGCAGTAGTGGCGAGAGTCCATTAAGAATGCGGGCCGTTGCTGCTGCTGCTGCTGTTGCTGCTCGTGATTTTCTATTATTGCCCGCGCTGGCAGCAGCAGACTGACTCTCCGACACTTTTTATATATTATACATCCTATATACACGCGATGCTTGCCATGGATAATATAATATAGCACTCGATCACCGAGAACGCGCCGTGCGCGGCTGTCGACGAGAATTTCTGATTTTTCAATACATTCATTGTATTGCTGCTGCCTGGCTCCGTGTACTTTTTTTCCAGTCATTTTCGTCTAGAAATGTCCCCATTTTGTACCGACACTTTATTGCCTCCATATATTTCTGGCGTTGGCTGTTTTTGTTGTTGTCCTATCCACCGAGTTTTCGCATGTATACTCGCAAATACATTATATCTAGAGCATTGCGGCCTGCGTATTATTTACCAAGCGAATTGCATCGAGTCATTGAGTTAAAAATAACGTTCACGGCAAGTTTGATTATTATCTATATGAAATCGATCTCGTCCTAGTCTCTCTCAATTTTTTTCACTCTCTCTCTCTCTCTCCGCGCAAATGATATTTTCCACGAGGTGTATCATAACGAAAAAAAACTCGAGCTTCATCACTCGGCGATAACAGCTGCTTTTGAAATTATACACGAACGTCGTTGTTTGAAGCGATGTCGTGCTTTTAGTTTTTTTTCTTGTTTTTTTTACCGCGAGAATCAAATTGGACACCTTAGAAAGCGTTGACAATGGAAAATAGCGCGTGTCATCGAGCTGATACTCTTTGATTCGAAAAAAAATGTACAATATAATTGATCACTATCGTCGCATCAACTTAGAACTGTCTTTGCTGTCGAACGGCGAACGAGTTGCAGCGCAGCGACGGATCGAGTAGTCCCTTTTCCGTTGCGAACGACGTACATTTATCATTATCGCGCGTGCATATAACAGCGCACAGAGGGAACACGATTGCGCGTCTCGCCATGCGTTGCTCGGATACTCCGAACTGTATTACTGCCTCGAGAATTAAGCTGGCGCGCAATCGTGTACGGGCCGTCGTCGTCGTTGATGAGTCGCGCGATTGCCTCGATTCGCCCAACAACGGACTGCTTATACGTTACTATCCAGTCCAGCTATATCGTCCATGCGTAGCCGAGCGTGTGTAAAATGTGCCGCTGTATAGCTGCACTCGAAGAGCTGTGCTGGACGTCGATGCTGGACACAAACACGAACTGCACACAGACACGCGTCAAACAGAGACGAGTCTCAAGTGACGCCAATGGCCCGCTTCCGTTTCGTCGCTCTTCTCCGAGCTGTTTTCCCATTGATCGCCCAACAGCAGTAGCGGCAGCGGTTCGATTTTCGTCTCCCTTGTATACATTTGTCCATGCGACCATTGGGCTGCTGCTAATGTAATTGATTGCATCAACGATGAAGCGCGGCTGCTGCTGCTGCTCTTTCAAAATATCTGCTGCACTGCTCCGTCTTTTATCGCAGCCCAATTAACGCAATAAACACACACTTATCGAGAACGATAGGAACGGTGTATTCTCAGAGAGCGGCTGATAAGTTTTGAGTAAACACTGCCATGTACTTTCGTGTGCGAGTCTTCTCTCGCTCGTGTGATTATTTAGCCTTTTTACTCTGAATTTTCTGTTTGCTCTGTGCTATTCGCGTTGCATTGTATTTTCTATCTCTCTCTCTCTCTCTCTCTCTCTCTTGATCTTTGAGACCCGCGAGCATAAAGTGTCCACAATCGCGATCGATTGATTGTACTTTGAAGTAAACTCGTGTGTCTCGAAATGAATTAATTATTCGCTCGACTTACGTCACGGAAAATTTGCTTAACTGCACGCACACGAACGAACGCGCAACTCTACTATATATTACTAGCGATATTTATTTGGTGTAGCAAAAAAACACGATGCAGTCATTAAATAAGTCAATGCTCAGACTATAATACTTCTTTTCCATGCACAATTATTGCGTTTATCGCATTATTTGCGTTGAATCGGTTTAATCTGCCGTCCTTCGTGGATGAAAAAATATGCTTCGATGCAGCTCCAATTATCATCGTCATCGTCGTCGCGCTCGTAAACTTCATCAAATATTGTACGTATTTATTTCACGTGCGGAGCTTTGTCGAAGCGATCAATCGCTGATTTTGCCAATTTCTTTTTCTGCCAACAAAGAGCACATTTTTTCGCTTATCTTCGCACAAATATATAAATTATATACAACAGCCAGCATCGAGCACGACAAACTGATAAATTATTACGTGGAACTTATTCATCGCATTAAATATCGTCGCGCAAATCCTCTTGAATCATCAGCGCGTACTATCGCTCGTTGCTCGTCTCATCGGCGATGTAGCAGCATATTTATGCGCTCTCTTGCAATGTGTATGTGTATGCGTATGTTTTTTGTTGATAAATCGAGGTTCTCAATTGACTGATTGACAACAGCCGCTCTTCCTGGCTTTCTTTCTCTTATCTTGACCCACGCGTTGCCGCCGCTGCTGCTGCTGCTCGTTGCAAACGTAGTCATAATAATGAAGTAACTTTTACCCGCATCTCTTGCAACTATTTTTTATTTTTCGCCAATTCTATTGTCTAGTCTCTATTATGTTTGCGACGCAGCGACGAGTCACTGTAATTTGACTATATTTGAATACATAGTATATACATGGCAACGCTTACTTTTGCTTATATTGGCCATTCGTTGCATTCGCAGGTGCAGTACGACAGACTTACGGACAAAGCTGCGAGCTCGAAGTTTTCCCATCCAATTGCGGCGAGAACGAGAGATGCCACAAGACAAATCAGACCGACGGCGTCTTTCGCTGCGACTGCGAGTTGGAGTATGAATTCGACGGCAAGAAGTGCGTCGAGAGGCCTCGGGTCGTTCCGCCCACACCCAATTCCTCGCCAGTCAAGCCGGAGGCGGATCAGCGCAGAGCGGGAGGTAAGCATGTCTAACGAATGGAATTTTATTTGGTTCCGTCGCCCACCGCAGGAACAAAATCTGATCGCTCGTCTCGTTGGTTTTTTTCAGGCGGCTCCGTGACGGCTCTGCTGCTCGTGCCCACGGTCCTGGTGCTGCTGAGCGCCGCCCTGTACATAGGCGCGAGGCGATACAAGTGGCTGCAGCGCTTCCGCCAGTTCCGCCAGAATCGCTACGGCAGCGTCCTGGTGACGCGCGACGACACCGACGACGACGACCCGCCGATCGCGTAGAATTACCGGGTGCACTACATCGAGAACGTACACTGACCCCACCTGCACCTCTGATGCTATCCCGGCAAGAGGGCCGTGTACGTGCGCCAGCTCGATGGGTGCCCCTCCACATGTGTTCCCATATTCGCCATCAGAGACGCCGTCGATCTGACGGAATCCGAACTTGGCTCGCTGCTCTGACTTACTATGTGTAAAGCGCACAACGATACTAGATATTTCGTCGAATGTCTCGATAACCTTCGATATACCTGCGACGCCGCATATGTCTGCCATATCACAAATTTTCAACCTTAGTCTGGTTGTGCTTTTCATTTCGTATCAGTCGACGCGGCTGCAAAACACCGAGTGCGTGCGAAACTGTAACGAATCGAAGCCAAATGAGACCGAGTCACACACACACAAACACTGTACAGGAGACCAATTTTTTCTTGTTGTTGAGGCTGATATACATAGACACTGTAAAGTTTAGCTATAGTAAATAGGATAATTTCGTAATTAATTTTTAACCAATTCTCGACGCACAGCGACATTTTTGTCTATAGAGATATGTCTATAATGTTTAACGCGGAAAAAAGTTTCGAGCGTAGAGCAAAAAGTTTCGTATCGGTGTAAAAATTAACGAGTCGAATCTGTTTCGCTCGTATAGTCACACTTTATTCACTTTCTATAGAAACTTTTACAGATATAAGCAATGAGTATCGATAGAGACTAATGTTACGAACGTGAGTTTTTTATAAGGTGTACATTTTTTACGAATACTTGAAGCGGTCAGTGATTGTGACGAAACAACACTACCGCAACTAACTAATAATGCTAAGATGATTGCTAAACTTTTTAGGCATTTTTCAAAATGAAAGTTGTATTATAAGTACGCTACGAAGGAATAATATGAGAATTGCTCTTTTTGTCGGTTTATTTCTAAGATGGCCTCTCATTGTTATTTGTGATTGCACTTTTGATACCGTTTTGTGAGACAACGGTTTTTATTTTTTGTTAAAAAAAAACATTTTATTTCTAAACGGTTACTTTATTATCTGTAAGATTCTAGTTACCGTTTGATTGATATTTTTACAATCACAATTCAAAATGTTGCCGTTTTTATATTACATTAATTAATACAATGTAAATGTTATTTTACAATGTAAAACTAAGTATCCGATGAAAAATAGTGGTTATTTTAAAAAAAATTCGCACAATTAATCAACTTTTTTATAGTTCTTTATTTTAATTTTGAACTAAACTATTTGAGATACTGAAGAGTTAGTTAATGTCGAAAAATAAGTTTGAAATTCATTACGCCATTGAATATGACTCGATGAGTAGTTGTTTTATTTTATTATTAAGTATAGAATTTGATTACGGATTCTTCCTAATGGCCAAAGAAAGTAGATTTCTCATCAATACCTAATAAACAATGGGTTTTCTGCATATTTCGATGATTACATCATTGAATATAGACTATAAATGTAAAAATAATCCGGTCAGATGAAATTGATATTCAAGCGGTTTTATAAAAATAATTGTCTAGTGATTCGTTTATTTCAAACTCATCGGAAATATTGCGATCACAAAGCATATTTTACCAGGTACTATACAAATTGATGCCTTTCGCAATGCTATCGTGGCAAAGAATGTAACTTACTTGAACTAAGCATTATTCAGAGTACAAGTACGCAGGAGTGTACAAATAAGTAGCCACATTATAAGTTAACTTTACATATCAGTGTAAGAGGATCGAATATAAAAGCAAGTTGTTGTTTGAATAACTGCTTAATTATAATGTTTTATAACCTATTTTACTCTGTGATGTATACAATTTTTTAATCAATCAATACTAGTAGTGGACTTGGCTAAAATTAAGACTCGAATAACGAATTTACTAACTAATGATTGGTGCGATTTTAAAGCATATTTTAATGTAACTTCTTGAATTTTCATAGTGCCAGATGAATTTGACTATACAAGGCCATTTTTCGATTATAAGTTTTTTCGTACTAATTTGTTTTAATAAATACGATTTATTTTCATTTAAAGAAGATTTGTGAATAATTTATTGTGAGATTTACGTATGTTTTATTTGAAGACTACAATATTCATATTTTAACATTGAATCATAAAAAAATTCACTCATACTGTATTCAATGGATTTGAGATTTTTCGCATTGAGTTTGTAAATTTAAGTATACAATTTTTTGTAATTGAAAATAAGTTGTTTATAATAATTTCATGTAAGTCGATTCATGATCCGGTGAGAATTATATTGTTATGAAAAAAGTTTTTTCTTTACACTCGTTATGTACTAACTGTAAAATAAATGTTTTCCGAGCGTTATGATGAAATCCTGAATATTCAATTCACATTTTCCACTGACATTCAAGCTTTTATTTTGAAGTATTTGACCGTTCACTACTTGTAACGTACAAATTACACCTACATGTATCTGATCCTTCATATTTGAAAAAACCGCTCTTATTGGCCAATGAAACGTGAGATGAAACAATAGGACCTGTACCACACTTCAGATTTAACCGGTTTTTCGGGACCCCCTTTGTAGTGAGGTCGCAACCGCCAAATGCACCGCCTCCTATAATAGACTCTTTTATCGTGAATACTTTTTGTGTGTAACAGTTTTATTATTTTGTATTCTTTCAAGTTTTTGCGTGCGCTGTTGTAATTCAATGGAAAATATTTTCGTTTGATCTCAGTTAAAAAACCAGTTGAAAATGTTTTTATTCAAAAGAAGGGTCAGCGATAACCAGGATTCTTTGTCTGCTGGGCCATCGATAAAAAGCTGGTATAATGGTAAGTAATCTTAAAAAAAATATAATGACTCAATTTACACTGATATTGAATAAAAAGAGTCTTACGTTGATTAAGAAAATTAACTAGGAAAATGAAAAAATGAAACTCAAAATTTGACTTTATACTATTTATATTGATAAAATTGTCATGAAGTAAACATACAAATCGTGTACATTTTATGCAGAGAGATGTTACATTAATTTTACTAACTACTTTTTTGCTGAATCGATATCGTTCCTTCGAACAAAAAATTAAAATCACATGGACGGCTTTGAATAGTTTGTAAGTTAAATGATGTTTACAAAATATTTTAATTTAACAAAAAGTATTTTCAACATATTTACAGGTTCTCTTACGTAGAGCTTAACTTCATACGCTTTTCAATTACAACTCGATTAACTTTAATTTTGTCACCTATCGTAAGAATTATCGTCATACAAGTAGTCAAAAGAATTTTTAGGAGTAAAAACATTAATTATTGCACATATAAACCTAATGCGAACCTTAAACATTATTTAATTTTTTTTGTATTACGTCAAGTAGGCTCGACTGTTTTTTTTTCAATTTTTTTTATGAATGACATACAAGCTAAAATATTTCATAATTTTTTTTCGCAAGATTTTTTTCTTTTATCAAATAAATATTTCGAAATTAATTCCAAATCTACTTAATTCATACTTTATTTATACACACGAACATTTTTGTTATCTTAATCTGCACCATCGTCATTGGAAAAAAAGTAATAAAACTTAAAACGGTTTTATGCTATATTTATTAAATTGAAGAATGTACATTTAACGAGTAAGCTATTTCTCATATTGAGAGAAAGTTGAAACATGAGTAAAAATGAAAATTTTCAAACACGTTTTCGCTCAATGTCCACTGAATATTTTTTTCTTCAATTCGCTGCGCAGAGAATCACTATTATCATGATATCTACCGAAAATTGTTCTGAAAAAAATATTCAAAGGAGACGAGAGAAAAGTCGGTTTGAAATTGTTAGCGTATTCTCTGACTCTCCATATCAATAGCATTCGTTCTAGCATCGACATAATTATATTTATCATTTTTCGGTCCTAAGCCACGCCAGTTGCTTTTTCTCTTGTCAGTCATAGTACCCCGACAAGAGACACATTCTTACAAATCCAAACACTGACAAAGACATTCTTCACGAGCATAATAATCAGGAAAATAATCTTCTGTCATGAAATTATAAATCGCATGGATAGTATCTCGTGCAAACAGCGTCTTAAACGTAGAAGATTTATTATGAGTATTTTTAGAGTATTCCTTGATAACAAAGTCTTTACTAATTTACATAATCGATAGTAAGGAGGTTGTTTTTAAAAGCACACGAGAATCCGATCGATGCTTCCAACGCGGACGAAGCGAACAATTTTAGTCGAACGTAAGCGAGCGCGGAATGCAGCTATATATCGTGCGTTACAGCAAGATGTTGTCGTTGGCCTCGCACGAAAAGCTGCGCGGGGTAAGTGTCGACTCGATTGCGCGAATTCGTCAATCGGGTCTCTCTCTATAGCAGATTTGTAAAAGCAGTGAATCGCTATAATTGTAGAGCTCAGTAGGCCGTGTAGTCGGTCCAATGGGCGCGTTGAGGACGATATTGGCTGCCGCTTATCTGAATGGTTTCGGGAGCCCTGTAGTACACGGTCTTGCCCCTGTCGACGCTTCTGGCGATGCTCTGTGGCTGATGATGTTGCTGCTGCTGCTGCTGCTGGGGTGGCTGAGGTGCCACCTGGACCGTGGCAAAGGGTTGGTGCTGAGGTGGAACAGGCTGTGCCTGCGGCTTCTGCAGCTGCAATTGTAGAGCTTGCTGTTGCATCGGTAGCTGTTGCTGCTGAGGTCTGGAAAATTTGTAAGTGTTCTCAGATGGTTGCAGGGCTGCATCGCGTCCCCCGAGCTGTCGATGCAGCGGCAAGGCGAATCCAGCCGGTAGGCTCGTCTCCTGCGGCAAGTTGTTGGGCGCCAGAGCCTCGTTGAGGGTCACGTCGTACTCGCTCTCGGGTATGTCGTGCAAATTGTGATGGGTGACCTCGTTGATGCGATCCTTCTTGTAGGTCGCGCTGTACAGGTTGCTGTGGACGTTCTGGCCCTCCCTCAGCTGTTGCTGCTGTTGCTGCATCTCCTGCTGCTGCTGCTGGCGATGATGGAGCTGGGCCTCGTTGGGCTCGCCGCGCGCCCCTTGAAAGTCCAAAGGGCTCCACTCGGCCTTCGGGGACTGCTGATGCTGAAAAGTCTGCTGTTCGCTGCGTCGCTTGTTGTGCTGCTCCTGCATCGGAGCCGCCTCCTCGTAGTTCTTGCCGGACTTGCTTCTGTAATCCTCCGACTGCTGCTGAATAGGCTTGAGAGGCGCATTGTCTACGGGACCGCTGGTCAGCTTGATGTACTGCTTGATGGGTATCTCGTCGCGACGATAGTTGGGCAGGGCCTTGGAACCCACTGGCAGCAGACCCCTCGGGTTGGGACTTCCACCTCGGGACGGCAAAAACGGCCGTTTGGTCGTCGGTCGAGGCGTCGTCGTCGTCGTCGTGCTCGTCGTCGTCGTGGTCGTTCGTGCCGGAGGCGCAGGTGGTATCGGCACTACGGCCGGCTCCTCGACGTCGTCGTAATACTCGGACGAGTCGTAGTCAACGACCGCGGCTTCCTTCTCGCCTCGTCCTTGACTCGCGGTTTGCTGCTGCGGTTCCTCTTGCTGCTGCTGCTCCGAGCTCTTCCAGTACTTTCCGGCCGTCGAGTAGTCGTCCTCGTAAGACTCGGACTCTTTGTGCTGCTGCTGCGGCCGATGATCCAAGGCCGATTGCGGTTGTATGGCTACGAGGGATATCTTCGGTCTCGGCTCTTCGGGAGTCTGCGAGACCGAAGAGGGGCCCAGATTTTTCGAGCTCGTCATCGAGGTGATGACCGTGGTAGTGGTGGGTCTCTCGCTGGTCGTGCTGCTGGTGGTCGCGACGCTCGTCGCCGGTGTCGTTATCGTCGTCGCCGCCGTTGTCGTAGTCGTGCTGCTGGGTGTAGTCGTCGCTCGCTCGTAAAACTGCGCCGTCTTCTTCGTCGTCTTGTCCTCGAGGAAATCCTGCTGCGAGTCCTTGGAACGCGTCGGGTGGCGCGCTCGATCCGGTTCCCGTTCGGTCTCGCGGTCTCGTTCTCGCTCCTGCGCACGGACTCGCTCCTTGGCCCGATCCAGAGATCGATCCCGGGTGCGCTCTCGTTCTCGCTCGTAGCGATCGCGAGGCCGGCTCGGCAGCTTGCGCGGCCTTGTCTCCTCTTCCTCGTCCCGGTATCTCGATCTGCAAGAATTATTAGCTTCGATACACGTATCCTTCGAGTTTATTAGAGAATGATTATGTAAGCTCTGTCCGAAACCAGTCCACGTCGTTAAAGGAAATGCACTGAGAAACCAGTTTATAGTGAAGATAATTGAAAATTGAAGAAAAAAAAACATCTTCTTTTCAATTCGGGCGTTGAGATCAGAAAGTCAATGAAAAATATAGATGAGTTTGATTCAAAGGAAGAATGAATTGACGCTATGCTCGGATGCAGCATAAAGTAACCACTCGTCCAACTTTCGGATGAGTTCACGAATCGCCATCTGGCGTTGTAAATTGTAAAAATTTGAACAAGCGTGTCGATAGCGTAGAAATGTATGCGAAAGTAACGATTACGTCAGCAATTAATAGTTATCGATCTCGCGTCAACCTACTTATTCAGTTGCTTACACTTATAGACAGAATAAAAAATGATAAATTTCACGTAGAAAAAAAAAGGAAAGAATTGTTGGTCAAATCGTGGAGCTGCTCGAAATGGGGGGTACGCATTACCTTACCTGTAAGGTCGATCGCGATATCGCTTATCGAGATATTCGCGCTCTCTGAGGGGCCTCGTTCGCACGAGCCAACGCGGCTTGACCTCCTCGAGCTCATCGACGTAGTAGTCGTCGTCCTCGTAGATGTCCACGGGCGGCGGTGGTCTTCGAGCCCGTGGGCTATCCTCGACGTCGTCGATCGCGGCGACCGGACGACGACGCGCCGGTGGTGCTGCTGCTGGCTGCTCGTCCAGCTCGTCGACTATGGCGGCCGACGGTCTTCGGCGAGGCTCGTCGAGTTCGTCGACGAGAGGTCGTCTTCGAGGCTCGTCCACGATCTCTATCAAGGGTCGTCGTCGGGGTTCGTCCACGACCTCGCTGACAACCGGACGCCTGTTACGTGGCTCGTCGAAAACGTCCGCGGCGGGTCGTCGACGCGGTTCGTCGGCGATCTCCGGTACCGCCGCGGGTCTTCTCCGTGGTTCGTCATCGATGTTGTCGCTTAGCGGCCTCTTACGAGGCTCGGAGTCGGCGTAAGGTTTGCGGCGAGGTGGTAGCTCGACGTCCTCGTCCTGCGGCCCGACTGGTCTCGATCGGGGTTCGTCGACATCTTCGGCGATCGGCCTTCGATGAGAGTCGTCTAGAAAACGAAGGTTTGTCATGTTAAAGGTCAAATCTTACAGGTAGAATCGACGTTAATAGGCAAATAAACTCACCAGCAGTCTGCGGACGTACGGTCGTACTCGTGGAGTAGGCATACTTGTTTTTCTCGGACAGCGGCACCGGCCTGCGGAGCTTGGGCGGTGCTCGGGGTCTCGAGTACAGAGATGTAGGCGGCGCCGCGGGTTTCACCAGACCTTCACTGCTGACGGGATCAGAAAGAGATCCATAAGCGTATTCATCATCATCATCATTATAATACCTAAATCTACGTTGTAAAATTATTAATTAACGAAAATTCACTGCAACGATTGTGAAATGAAAGCAATTGTTCTTGCGATGAAAAGCATTAGTACGAGCTGGTTTTTCCCAACTCGGATCGTTCCCGGACTCGGAGGACACGTATTATGTCTCGGGCAGATTTTGTCGCATGTAAATGAAGTATTTTGAGAGCAGCTGATGGAAAATTATTATAATCAGTCAGTCGGTCATTACCTCTTGCGATCGTCGGTATCTTTGGCTCGTTCCTCGACGTCCTTGGACCTGGACGAGTCCTGATCCCGGAGGCGCGATCGAGGAGGCCCGTCGGCGTCGTCCCTCGGCCTCACGGGATCTCGGCGACTGGCCCGCGACGGCCCGTAGCGATCTCTGTCGCGATGCCGGAAATTGTCGGTTCTGTCGCGGTCTCTGCGCGAGTACTTGCGATCGTCGTAGTCGTCGTACTGGTCGCGTCTAGCGTAACCGCCGCCGCCACCACCGGCTCTGGGTCGCACCGGCTCGTAATCGTCGTCGTAGTACTCGTCGTCGTAGTAGTCGTAAGCGGGCCGCCTGTGAATAGGCCTCCTTCGTCTCAGCGGCGGATCTCTGTCTCTGCCTCGATCGTTCTTGTTGCCGTCGTGACTAGCGGGAGAGGGTGTCGTCGTCGTGGTGGTGCTCGTCGTCGTGGTGGTGGTCGACGTGGTGGAGCTGCTCGCGGCCTGGTACAGGGCGTCGTTGCGGTGCCAGTACTTCTTCGAGTTGGCGCAGTCCACCTCCGAGACGAAGTGGCAGATGAAGGTCTTCTGGTCGAAGGCGGTGAAATTGGCGCAGAGGAAGTCGTAGCGCGTGCCGTACAGACAGTGATGGTAGACCTGCGTAGATATATAGAGAGAGAAAGTCAGTCCGTGCTTAATCGGTTACGAGCAAAATTGCGCGACTTGTGCACGCGGCGCACATCGTGTGTGTGTGCGTATATCGCGCCTACGCCGTTCGGTGCCAAGAGATCGGCCGCGCGTTACTCAACAACGGGCCCGATGCGCGACTCGATGGACATGGAAATTTCTTCGCGATTGTGTAATTTTAGTCTGTTTTGACTACTTTGGGAGAAAGTTTGATTGATGCACGCTCGTCAAAAACCAGTTGGGATTTGAATCCAAGTCGCAATTGTAAGTTTGTGCCGATCTGTACGCCCGCGTGAGTGAATCGACGTATTAGTTTGTGTGCTTGTTTGTGTGTGGCTATTTCAATTATGTAAGGTAATGTTGCCTCGATCTATTCGATAATCCATTATCACCTACCGAACGATTCCAATTCGTTAGTTATAACGACCTTACGCGTACACTCGAAAATCGAATACCCATTAGAAAATTAACTAATACCCATTAGATTCATAACGTTAATCGGCCTTTTGTTTTTTGCGTCCTATACCTTCAAAAGACGGCCGACGGTATCTCAGAAAATGACAGAAAATTTGTAATACTCAAAAGCTGGAAAGCTTTCGACGACGTACGAGCGTGCTACAGCCGATCTACCGAACCGCAATGGTGGTGATGACCCATACGCGGAGCGAACGGACAAAGTCCGTGGAAGGATCGTTTCGACACGCAACGAGCTCCCTCGTCCGTATGCAGAGCGACGCATGTCAGCGGTATACGTAAGAAAGGCACATACACACGAGACACTCGTGGCGAATAAAAATTTTCCCAGTACAATACACGATGCTGCAGCGGCGGCGGCGGCGGCGGCGATTGCACATATTATATGCGGCGAGGCCCATGCGATGCCGAGGCACGTAACCGTATACCCGCGTAACGCTGCGAATAAACGGCGGTGGCTAGCGCGACTCATGGGCCTCGCGCTGCTCTTGATAACCGAGAATTCGTATGCACGTCATTTTCTCGCGTTATGTGCCCCCCCGCGTCCACTCCGGAGTGACTCCGCGGACTTTCAGAGCGAGTAAACAGCGTGAAATTCATCAGTTGATATATGTACTCTCTTGAAATGTTTACCTAAAGCCATGCCACCGTATCGCGAGGAAAATATATTTTACTTGCTCCGTGTCTATTGCTTTTATTCTCTCTCTCGCAAAAAATTTCGAATAATTTTAAAGGATTACGTAACGATTATAATCTCTAGAGATCACGTGCAAAACTCGAGAGAAATTTGCGCCGAAAATTGCCGCGTGAGCTCGCTTATAATACAGTAAAAGTGGGCCGAAGGTGTAATCAAATTACCCGATTCGATCGTCACTTCGAGCGCACTTTTACCGTCTATGGTAATTTTGACATGAAATTTCTCTCACTTTTAATCGGATAACATTCGAGCGATGAAAGGCTGACAATCGCTTATAGACGAGTTAAAATCTCTTGAAGCCACTTGAGGAAATATTTTCACTCGTTATTGACGAACGTCTATGTATTCAACGGCAAAAACATATATTGCGATTTGAGCATCGGTCGATGCCTTTCCTGAACGGATTACTTCATTTATTTATCATTTATATGTACGACTTCTCTCGTGAGAAATTTCATCTCCATCGCCTTAATCCATGAGTTGAGTTTTGCGAGTCAATAGCGCGCTACACATAGCTATAACGTAATCGCTGAACTGCATGTTTTAATCGCTATACACGAGACGCGGAGATCGATTTATTTATGGAGTGAGAGAGAAAAAGAGAGACCAAAGGTATAAACGTGTTGTGCAGTTTGTATATGTATAGACGACTCTTTGTATAAACGAAAGATCTGTCGTGTCCTGTTCCGAAGGTTCGAGCACATAGATTTTGCCGCGCGACGAGATCATTGGCCTCTTTCCCTTTCGCTCTCTCGAGGAGCCTCGCGGCGCAATTTCAAGAACATATAATACGTCTCGCGATATTTTTCCTTTTTTTACGCCCTTCGAAAATGAGCAATGGGTTTGCATGACCGACGGGTGATCTGCTCGCACACGCGAGTACAACGACGCACGAGTGGAATCTTCTCTTTTTTTTTCGTAACGCGAAAGATGCTTTATGAACACAAGAGGTGTCTCGATTGCTTGGGCTTCGATGTAGATTCTCGTCCGTGGGATGCGCAATCGTAAAGTTTCCATGAGAAAACGAGTTTTTTCTGCCTCCAAATCACTGAGAACTTTTTTTACTTCGTGTTTCGTTTGAATATTTCATCTTTTTTATAAGTTCATTGACTTGGAATTCTCTTTCTTTCAAGTGCGAGCCGTATGTATACACAAATATTGTAAATTTTTAAAGCAAAATTTCAAGGGCTTTTCCCCCCAAAAAAAAATCAAAATTGATTGTACACTGCTCTTGAGCCGACGGAGTCGAAGAAGCGCTCGCAACCGTCATTTTATATAAATCTTCTACTCGGCTGCTGCGTTATTTTTTCTAAGCTGCCTCATCCGCTTTCGAGCCGCGCACTCGATATAAGTCATCTGCGTGCGCGAATACACTCGAGATTGCGTAATATTTACATCTCGAGCTCGAGGGAGCGCATAAAGACTCGCTCGCACACAACATTTAATTTGAATAGACGATTTACTCGGGAGAGAATCAACAACGCTCTCGACGCCTACGGAGATGATCGAGCGAGCCAAATATTGATATACACTGGAGCTCGAGCAAAGGCAGAACTTAGATGCGTAGGCTCGGGCATTATGATACACGGTAAGTGTCAACGACAATAATGAGAATCGTCGCTCTTTTCTAGCGCTGGAAATTAACCACGAGTTCGTTTGACATGTAGCGCGGCGGCGGCGGCGGCGATTGTCAGGGATAACGCGCGTAGTAAGGAAAAATAACTTTTTCCCGACTTCTGCGGAAAGGCTGCGTGACTTCGCAGAAAGAAAGTTTTCTCTCTCTCTCTCACTTCTCTCTATCGGCGCGAAGCCTTTGGAAATTTGCATGACAATGATCAGAGTCGCGGACTGCTTGGCTGCTCATCTCGCCCGCGCGCGAGCCGCGAGAAAGGATATCGGCCAGAATCCATTTCTACCGGAAGTAAAGCATATTGCGCTGCAGCTGCGAAACGTTATATAGCTTTCACGCACGCCTATGTACATATAGCTCGGTGAGTCCTAATTTTTTGTCGATCGCGCGCGGCCTAACAATTAATGGCGCTCGAGCGCTCCGCATGCAGAAAACTGCACGAGGATATTGCCAGGAGTGAAACTTCGATCCGTCGATTAGACGAACCGTCGTAGATTTGGTTCGGAGCAATAACTCGAAAGGGTTAGCATGTAGAATTGCCAAGAAGAAGAGAAGCACTTGTCATCCGAGGTTCGGTGTTTATTTGGCAAATATTGAGGTAGACGCAGCTATATATACTACGAACCCGAGGGAAATGACTGTGTATACAGAGAGTGTGAAAGTAAGGGGACGCAAAGCAGAATCTTATTAGCTCGGCGATGCTATCGAGCAAATGATCGAATCCACCAGTGATGCTGTGTGCTTGCGTAATCGCGCGCGGCGCTAAAAGCGACAGATCTCGCGCGCGGCCCGCCCCCTCGGGAACATTAGATTAATTGACCGCACGCATGTTGTGATTCGTGCTGCAGCCCATTTATATAAAGTCAGCTGGATGTACGAGAATACAAATTGGATTTTAATCCCGATGCTCGCTTGTTTTTCGAGTTGAGCTTCGTATGAATGCGCTCGACAATCGACCCCGTGCGAATACGCGCTTTTTTGACAATATTTCCCAGTGGCAGCTACCCTGAGTTTATGCAATCATCTTAAAAGTCTCGAGTGCTTCGCAACGGCGGTCAAATGCACACGGATCGCTATTAACCAATAAATTTATGTCGCGCTAATGAATACGCGCGACGCATGTTCGTGGAAGCCACTTTCAATATTCGATCGTTTGATGAATTTGTCAGTTCATAATCTTCGAGATTCCGTAATATTGCGCGAGAAATGTAATGCGCTAGGATGAGCCAACGCGCGTCTATATGTGCGCGAATAGCATCGAATCGGCTTTTAGCCCTGGGGGATAATTCATCGGCGTTTCCATCGAGTAGCCTATAGCCGGGGCATTACGTTGTCCCATAAGACGTCGTTGGCGATTACGTATATGGAAAATAAATTGCAACTCGTGCGTATAAGTGCACTTACACGCGTGACTCGATGGCTAATGTCATAACTAATTTCAAGCGAATGTATAGATAAATTTCAGACGTTGGAAGCTCCATGAAAGCAAAAAAATTAAATGTCGCGTATCGAAACGTTGATTAGCAAAAATAACCAACGAAAATTATGACTTTGGGGCCAAGTATTACCGCGCGTTTATTAATTCTGCGCTCGTGTGCATGCCCATTTCGTTTTGATCGCACGACACACAACTGGCACGAATTTATACATTTCAATTTCGACCGATGCGAACAATAAAAAAGCAATAGCACACGATATTGCCTCCATTACGATTCATTTTTCAATATTTTCCCGCATACGAACAAAATCGTTTAATTAAACAAATTTTATTTTTACCTGACACTTGTGCGGCACACTCGCGTAAAATCCGTCATGAAGTCCGTCGCATTTGAAATCGATGTCCTTTGGCATGCTCTCGTAGAATGGATAATCGCTCAAGTTGTAGCCGTTTAGCTCGCGCGGCAGATTGGGATCAAAAATGTAATCGATCTGCGGGATCCCCGTGAGCGTGTGCGCCGTCGTCCCATTGGTTTCGCTGCCGGATGTCGTCGTTGCCTGAAAATTTGGTCAAATATCGTTAGCAAATAAATTACTTATGAAAATTTTCATTGACTCTCATTGATTCGTCTATTTTTTGCAAAAATTTTATAAACATTTTACAAGTACTAAATGAATGAGCCTAAATAAAAGTAGCGCGATTCTAAAAGTATTCGAAAAACTACTACCATTACATTGACAAAAAATTTCTTCATAAAAATAGAATTATTTCTATAATTATCTATGAATATCAACCTTGAAACCTATGAAAACTATTGAATGCGATACCAAATAACTTCGTTTTAATATATTTTAATGTAGCTTAATTTTGCATCTGTCTGTATCACTTAGCTTATTATCTGCTTATTTTCTTTGTAAATATGTATTATTGTAACTTTTACTGCTAATTGTATTGAATACATTTGGAGGATGTGTCTCTAATCTTCTCATGATATGTGTAGGCCTTCACATGTCGTTAAAACTACACTGAAATTGTAATGAAAATGTCATTCATGTAGGCGCAAACTTTTCTGAATCATACGAGCAATTTATATGCGGAAAAACATTCACACATACGAATATATCTCTGAACCTACATTCATAAATTACATAATGGTATTATACATGAGATGTGAAAAATAAAGCTCAATTTGTCATTGGAGCAACAAGTGGTAGTAAAATATCTATACAACAGCTGTGTTAATAATTCAACAAAACGTGTATTTTGCTAAAGTTGTTTTCGTAAAGAATTAAAATAAAGAAAAAATGAAAATGTTAAGTCTCCTCCCAAGCTCTAAGCTTAGTTCAGAGTGACACAAGAAAAAAAATTCGAGAGAGTTTTTTTAATGGAAACTTATCCAGACTATCGTCGCCAAAAATTCGTGAAGCTTTTTTACTACGTCAACTTATACTATCTAAATTTTTATAATGGGCTTTCAAATTTAAAGGTCACGAACAAAAATTGAAAGTATTGAAAAAGTGAAGAGATTGAAAAAACTAGGAGACCAAACGAGCTCTGTAATTGAGGTCTATTTTTAGAATCATTTTTGCTTATTAGGTATTAGGTAAAAGCAAGTACAATAATTATCGATTTTTAGCCACAGGGATGACTATTTACGCGATGCAATTGGTCGGCGCTCGGCAGGGTCAAAAGTCCGCTCAGTTTACAGTTTAGCCGCTAGATGGCTATCAGACCGTTTTGAAAGTTGTTCCCACAAGTGACTTTTCCTTGCCAATGTAGAAATTTCCCTAAACTTAAATGACTTTTTCATGAACGGTCGTTCAATCGGTTCTTTATAGATGAACATGGTTATATCGAAGCTCAATTAAATACAAATCACGCCAACGTTCTGCTGCAGAGCAGCGTGGATTTTCATATTATGAATTTTTTGCATAAGCTTATGGACTGTGGGAAAAAACGTTTGGTCATCCACCTACAACCATAATTGACAAAGTCGAGAAGTTTTTTTTTCATCCACTCTCGTTCGAGTGGATTATTATGTTTTGCATTTCGCTTCATCAGCGTCAACTCTCTGGGATAATCTCATGCGAGTATATATAACTTATAAAGCGTGAAAACACTCTACACTGGAAACCCTCTTGATGAACAGCAGCTCAACCAAATTTAGCTAATTGTATTGAGCTGTATGAGCCCAAAAATACAGTCCTCACAACTAAATGTTATATCGTTGCTGATCGTTGAACTGTCAGATGTTGCTATGTTCATTTTAATGAACATTCTGGTTATGTTCACTTACAAACGCGTGATATTGACGTGACGTGGCTCAGTTCACGTTTGTTGACATTGAAAAATATGAATTGAGCTGTATCAACTCAAAAAATTGCGTTGGCAGAGCTACACATCGAATCGAGCTCGTATAACCCGAGATTGAGCTCTGCCAACTCAACATGGTTTCCAGTGTACACCTCAATCTTGATACGCGAAGAAACGAGCCACTTGAGAGGCGCAAATCTAAACGCGGGTAAGAAGGAAAAAAGTTGGGCCACTCGGTTCGTCGAGTATATAAAAAAATAAAAAAAATAAAAAATTAAAACTCACCTCGGTGTCATCGTCGGAAGCATCTGCTGAGGCGGGCTCTCCGGTGGTGGACGTGGTCGATGACGTTGCTATCTTAAATTTCGCCCTCGACGCCTTGAGCGCATCCGAGACGGCAACCGCTATGAAAAGTCCTGCAATTGTACAATTTCATCAATAAACGTACGAAAAACCGTTCTGCTGAATACATTAATATACTGTCCACGTGTTTTGTAATTTTTCTTGTTTGTTTTTCAAAAGCAGCGTTAATCTTGGATGTTTTTAAAACTTGGGCATAGCATTGCGACAGTTATATACATACGAAACTCGTTTGTATGTCTCGGGAGATAAAGTTTTGATGTATATAAATAGCAGTTAAAATTGAAAAATCGGCAGGAAAGATCGCTATACATACATAAAACAGCAGCATATCTTAGCTCGTGTCGCATATTGCGAGTTGCGCCAAAAGCGTTTGCCGAGAGCAGCGATCGCTCCACGAATTGCGTATAAATAATATCGATTTAGAAACAACTGCAGCAATATTTTCAAGTGTATGCATAGACTCGCTCGGAGTGCTCGACGAGCTCTCGACGAGCGATCTCTCATAGTCGAGGGAAATGAGGAGAAGAAGAAGAAGAAGCCGAGTGGAGCCGTGTGGCGCTGCGGATTGCGAAAAGAGCAGCAGAAAGCGAGAGCAGCTCTCCGGTCGTGCGCGGTAATTTCCTTCTCTTTTTCTCAGCTTTTTGCTCGATGACGACTCATAAAATGCATCTCTCAGGTTGGGTAATTGCATTTGAATCGGATCAAGGCTGCTGCTGCTGCTGCTGCTGCTGCTGCTCTTTTCGCACAATCGTTTGCAGTTGTCGTTGGCAGACCCCGACACCACTCGACTTTTCGATAATTTTTGATAAATTTCTCGTTCGCGCCAATCGTACGAGTACACTCTCTCGCTGTATCACTCGTTCGGTCGATCGCGTTGCGAAAGCTTCGCATTTTTTGCCCAATCGAAAGTGTTGTTACAGCAGAGTAGCCCTTCGTCGCAGCGAATCGAATCGGCGTCCTCGCGGCGCGTAGAAAGTCTAGCCGCGGCCCCGCGCGCGCGTCGATCAGCGACTCAAAATTCGGACAAAAGAAAGTGGGCGCAATTATAAGTGCCTCACCGGGGGGGCCGTCGATCGGCCGCGGCGGACGAATGGAAAGGTGCTTATGTATCGCAATTCTCTGTGCTCAAGTGCCTCTGCGCTGTTGTACCGATCGTTTCGGTGTATATCGGCGAATAATTCGCATAGTTGGCCGGTTCGATCGATGTGTACATATTACGTCGATGCAATCAGTCGCGAAAGCATCGCGAAAGTTCAGATAGAGAGAGAGAGAGAGAGGCGAGCGAGCGAGCGAGCGATCGGCCGCGTAGTATAATGCACATCTACAGCTGCCCATACATACGACAAATGTTGCGGCGACGTATACTCGCGGAGGGTAGCTATGTGAATATTTATAGTAGTATGAGAATATTTATATAGAAGCTCGGGTGCACTCGTCTCGTTTCGCTCGCTCGTCTGTATAAGCGTGTCGCAAAAGATTTTCATGAAATATTTCTCAAGCCGATGCCTGCCTGGCACTGCCTGCACTGCATCACGATCACACGTACGTGTCGGCGGCGGCCGCAGCTCATTACATTCACCTCTCGGTGCAGTCGAACTGCCACGGTAAATATAATACGCAAGAGCCCACGAGAATGGGGCAACTTGCGCCACTACGCGCTTACATATTGTAGCGCGGATCTAGGGGAGCCGAATCGTTGTTGTTTGGCCGATCTCTCCTCGCCGCGGAGTATACGCGGTGAATTACTCGCTGCCAATATCATCTGCCGCGATCGACGCTACTCGTAGCGTCTGGGCCGTGAGGATTTTCACCCGAGATCGTATCTGCCTCGGTGTGTATACTTTTGTAGCACCGACAACAACAACGAGAGAACACGTAACAGCCGAAAAAAGTGCGAACCTTGCGAAATAGCCAGTACAGCGGGCGCTCGCTCGACCGGAAAGCTCTTATAGCTCGGCTGGTAATGCTTCCTTGCGTGCGCGGGGGAGGTGGAGCTCCCCGATATTGTACCATAAAACCAAAGCTACGAGACAAGTTTTCCTCGAGCCGGTCCTGCACGCACCGAAAGCCGCCGCGCATATCTAACTGGATATAACTAGAAAACGAACGCGCTTGTGCGCTATTTTGGCCCGGCTGAGCTAATAACTCCCGTGCCTGCCGCCGGCGATTTATGACTGCGATCGACGCCCCGACACATTGTCTGCGTGTAATAAGTGACGCGAGCTCGCCCGAACAACGCGTCCATTTGACGACTATATCATTACGTACTCGGCCCTCGCACAAATGCCGAGAGAATGTTTCGACACGTTTTTTGGCCTTTTGTTGCAATCGACCTGGCTGCTTTATGCATCAAAAGTTCTTTTTTTTCTCGACTAGCTTCGCACTGAGCTAATTGTCGTGTATTCGAATTACAATAGCCGAAAATGTCACGAGTAGGCAACCATCATAAGCGTTGACGTTATATTCGAGAAATGACGTGTTATTGCACCCATTCTGCATTCTGTTAACTGAGGCTCGCGTATTGGATAATTTTTTTGCCAATATGTTGAAATGCTAAGTATAAGACTTTTGCTGCATTCTCTGGGCGTGTGTACAGGCATATATTATTATCGTTTATTTATTCAAGAATATAATTGCGGCTGCATAATGTATGCAATTCGCAAGCAAAGAAAATCGATGGAGCTCTCGATGAGCGCGCGTCGATGAACGATTAGACCCAAGTGCCATGTAACAACGACTCGTCGTTCGCACTGAGTCCCGGCAGCTCTCGAGTTTTTTTTTATCTTACTATATTATACTTGTCGACTGCTCAATAAAAGCTCCTTTAGGTGTAAATGCATCAGTTATTAGGGCGACTTTAATATATATGAGCTATTTTTCCGGCTGTATCGTTGAATGCTCCGACTGTACGAGAGAGTAATCGATTCAAGGGTAGTGCAAATACTCGAATTTTTAATATTTTATTCTCGTTAAAAGTTTTTGTATAGTGCAGAAAAACGCTAATCGTGTACGTATTTGGAAAAAGTTATTATACTATTTTGTCAGCGTTTTTCTTAAAGTTTCATCGATTTTAACGATAAACGATCGAATTTTCAATTTTTTTCGATGATAAAACTAATACTCTCGTTCAATTCTACCGTTTTATTTGTTTAGAAAAATAAACTTTATCATAAGTTCGTTTGCAAGCGACTATTTGACGATTATGGGTGATTTTTAGTGAATATGGCTTGCAAATTGCACCGCATTTTTTAATAGAAATGCAAGTCCTGTTCCATATATAATAAGATATTTTTTGATAGAAAAAAAATGTAAGACACGGCATATATTTGGTAGAAAGCTAATGCTAATGACTAATGGTATGGTAGCCTTACTAATAACTGAAATAATATTTACTTCGTAGTCTGAAGTTTATAATAAAAAATATATACGTCGTAAATATAAAATTACTAAAAGCATGATTCTAGACTTTGACTTCGATCAGCGCATTATATCTTCAACTAGCCTCGTACATTCGTAACAAGCGATCGACATTTTTTGCAATAAATCATATTCCCCACACTACTCGTCGTCACTTGCGCGTGTTTTACAACAGATGATGAATATCGATATCGCGAGCTAAATGCTAAGCTCTTGGGACTCGCGCGCAAGTTGTCTGTCGATGCAATGCAGCGGTGCGTTAAATCCAACAGCTCACTCGAGCATTCCGGCATATATAAGTAAAGAGAGTATTAGAGAGAAACAATAGGAGCTCGGGCGAGGGAATTGAAATTCCTCACCTTCGAACGAGCTGCTGCAGCTCGTCAACGAAAAATGCCATCCCGTGACTCGTTCGCTCGCAAGTATGTAAGTATACTGTGCACGGGCGCAAAAAATCGAGCGCGAGACATAATAGCGAGCGGCGCTAATTGCCAAGTTCTCTAGGATGTTTGTGTACTCCTCGAGCTCTCGTCACTGTACGTCGCGGGAGCTATATAAGGCAGCCGAGCTTGTAAGTACTTATAACGATTCGCGCGGCTGAAATCTTCGATATCGATCCGCGTTTTGTCGCGTACGACGCGAGGGGGAGATCCCTTTAGGCCGATCTAGTCCGTTGACGTATCGAGCTTTATGCTCGGGTATCACGAGCAGCAGCTGTTTGTGCACAACTAATCGCTTGAGAGCATCGCGATTTCTCCCGTTTCCGAGGATGGCTTTGCACTCTATCCGCGCGGCTTATAAACGTAATAGCTTATGCACGATCTCAGCACAGTCAACAGCTTGCGTGCATACATCGATATACGTGGCTGTGCATTTTGCCTCATGCTTGAGATCGTCTTTCGTCCGATGATCTGCGCAGCTCACGAGCTACCCATGTATACGTGCCGATAATTGCGATGACCAGAAGCCGCTAATTGGCTCCAGCTCCATAGCGACGAAAATACGGCACATTCGGATCGCGACTCGTCGAGGCCGTGGAGGATCCGCTGCCGCGAAAAGAGGCGCTAACAGTATATTACGGAGTCGTGCTCCGATTTCGCGGGCCTCGCGTATATGTATACGTAACGTACCCCCGCGCGCGCGCGAGTTGCACGACTCGACGACGACGACGACGAGACCTTTTTGGTATTCCATAGTCGACTGTTGCTGCTGCTGTTGCCGAGGACTCTGTTGCGAGGAGCTCACACCGCTATAAGCGTACGGGATTTTCGACGGTATTGTAGCTCAATTTTTTCTTTTTATGCCTTCTTTAAAAGCCCTGGATCCTACTTATTTGTAACGGTAAAGCGACGAAACGGCGCAGGAAGCTGAAGTACCGCATATTATATGCAATGCGGCCCGATGCATTTATCTCGATCAAATATATAATACACATGCGTGCGGTGTCGCTGTCGAACAATTTTAGTTCGCGACGTCTCTTTTTGGGGCCTCGCAAATTCGAGTTCTTGGAATTTATTTGTACACGCGTCGAGCCTTGCCACTTACTAGCAATGGATATGTTCTTTATACAGGTCGCAAAGTGTCTGCTTGCACGTGTTTTTCTTCCTAAAACTTCTTTTGACACTCGATATTGATCTTTCAATCGTTGCAGACGCGTGCTGCGGTATACGTTTTACATACGCATGTGCACGTTTTGTAATCGAAATTAAATACGCGTAATTATTTTTGTGCTTTTTTTCGTCACACGCTGTCACAAGAAATAATGTCAATGTCAAATGTATAAACTTTTACGTACCATATAGAGCAACTAGCAGCCATCTCCTCTCCCGCATATTGGCTCTTCTGAAAGTTGAAAATAATAAAATTGCAATCATTATTATTCAATGGCGCATGATGTTTGCGTAATTCTATACATGTATATTAATGCGGTGTTGATAGCTGGGTTAAAAAGGCGGACTGGTATAATAAACAGCTCGAAAAGCCAAAAGTAGCTTCGTATAATTTGACGAGTTTTTAACCGCGATCATGAATTACATGCTTGCACAATCGGTCCCCGCGACGACGATCGATTAACGTAAATTTCGTTAATCTCGTCGGCGTATTAGCGATGTTTTCGTGCCGCGAACGTTCAACTGCTCGCGGACAATCGCGATGACAGCCGAGCGACTCGCGTGCACAGCGCTTATACCGCGCGAGAGCTGCACTAGTGCGCGATATCAATGTCAAATATCGCGGAGCAAACAGAATGCACGGCTTTTGCGAGGGGGGCCCACTCGAGCGCAGCGAGCTGGCGGCTTTTTCACCGCACCGGCACGATTACTTTCACGTGTCGATCGCGTATGCGCGGATAATTTTCGATTTCGAGGAGCTTTTGATCGATATACGTATTCGCTGAAGTGACTCGCGGCTCGCGACGACGTTGCCAAGCACGAGCTACGTACATACGCCGCTTAAATACGATTTCTCCCGGGCGCGCGCGCGGAAAAAGTTTTGTATACGCCGCCGAGGCGCGAATAGCGATTACCACTTCCCGCGGATAATACACATACAAAGTCGCTCGCGGTCGAGCCAGAGAATTACGCTTCTTACGTGGATCTCTATATACGCGGCTGTACGCGCCGAGCATACGTATATAGCTATATGTGGATGTGTGTACGCACCGACTGCGTAATCTCGGACGGATGGGCTCTCTTCGATCGACGCGTAGTCAGCTGAGAGCTTGAGAGACGACGACCGACGCCTTTCGCAACGTCGTTTTCAATGTGCCTCTCTCTCTCTCTGGATTTTTGCAGCGCGAACAAAATGGTACGTCGTGAGCCCGACGTACGAAGCGCGAGGATTGATATATAATAAGTTGAATCGTCGTGTCGTGTGTGTGTGTGTGTGTGCAGCATAAGGCAAAATTAGGTCAGATCGACGCCATTTTCTCATTGTACATAGAATTCAATAGAAAGGTAATAACAGGCCTGTGATGTATCGCACATGCTAGACAATCACTGCCGATTACGCCTAGCGCGCGAGCGAGGAGAGAGAAAAAGAGAGAGAGAGAGAGAGACCATCAGCGATTAGCTTTTTCTCGGGCGCGAGCTCGCTCGCTCGCAAGGCCGTACCCGTTAATTAGTATTGTTTTCTCGTGGAAAGAGCGCCGTGGCGAGTGCGCGCGTATATTTCTATTATTATTTGCAGTGAAGAACTACGTGTATATCTGCTCTCGTGGGCAACGAGAGGAAGAAAAAAAAATGAAACGAGCAGACGGAAAAAAGTGTCCACTGGCTTTGGACAGCCAACGAAGCTTTTGTCTTTTTTCGTCGATCATTTGCATTTCAGTTTGCGCACTACGTAGAGCTTGAAAATGTCGCGTTGGCGCGTAGCACTGCGAGACTCGAAACGAGGATCCGGAGTCGGGTCGCGCGAGCAGCAAATTAGCCGCCGATCTCTCGAGCCCCGGCTGCAATTTGCCTATACAGTACGACACATAATAATAATCGGCGCAGGCTGAAGTCTAGCTCTCGAGTTTGGCCGGGCGTATGTATGTACGCGGATAAAGGCGCAGCTCTTTCGATCGGTACGGCAGGCTGTATATAAAAGATAGTCGAGCACTTTCTCCGCCGTCGTATCCGTCGCATTTGCACGCTCGAGTGCTGTCACCGGTGCCGCGGCCAGGTAGACCTGCACCATATACCATATCGTACGTGTGTGTGTGTGTGTGTGTGTGTGTGTGTGTGTCTGTGTGCGCCCGCACCGCCTGCCTGCCTGACTGCAACGCAGTTATATAAAGTACGCGCTCGCGACCTCTCGTCTCACGTAATCTTTCGACTCGACGTTAACGGCGCTTTTTCGTACGTACTGCACGTACGTACTACGTATAACGTAGGCGCAAGCGATTCTCTCTGCCGCAAAAAGCCGATCGCGACCTGCGTGGAGCTTATATAGGGCTGCGAATATCGCGATCGGTCTGCGCCGAAACGACTGCGTCGAGAGAGAGAAGAGAGGAAATTTACATCTCTTCGTGTGTGCTCGAGTCGACGTAAGTTACGTCTCTGCAGCGAGCAACGATGCAATCGCGAGCGCGTACTTATGTACTCGCGCGGCTTTTTCACGCGCGCGAGCGATCGGCTTTTTCGACGAGACTACTTTGCTATTTCAATACCGAAGTAGCAGTGGCTGTCGAGCTATGAATCAAACGCAGCGGAATAAGGACGATCCGCCGTCGATTCTGCCGCGCGATCGTGTTCGCGAGCTCGAGCGATTCCCGTAACGCGCCGCACACGAGCTGCTCTGATATAACACGGCGCGCGTATACGCTTACTTCGTAGTAGCATCTAGTTTGCGCACCGAATCCTATCCTATCGATTACCGATCGACCATTAGCTCGTGTGGATTTCGGCAGAAGATCAAAACGCTTTATATTAGGAACTTTAGGCAATTCGCAACGATCTTGTATACGAATATAACAATTTCTCGCCGCGTGTAATTGACTGGTTTTTCAGTGCGCGCGTTCATTTTTTTTTAATTTAAAAATTTTTGCTTTCTAAACTCCTCATCGTGAGTTCGATATGAACCCATGTATAACGCACCATGCACACCCACTTTTGTGCGCATTATATATATTATATATACGCACATATATACCTACTACGATAATAAAAATATACATACGTATAGTAATTTCCATTCTGTATAGTTCTCACTTTCGCGCAATGACTTAATTACTTCCGTTTTATCCTCGATTCGCTGAATAAAGTTATGTTTATTAGATCCTACATCATACCTATTTATTTGCTCCGCGCGCCCAGTGAAAGTGAGCGCGATATTGAGATTAAAAAGTCATTCTCCATTCAAGAATTGTGTGCCGATGTGTGTGTTTTTCGCCCAGACGATCGCATCTTGTGTTGCTCTATCTACCGCAGTGCGCTCGACACAGAGTTACGATTTAATCTTTTATACAAAAATTATTTATTCTGGAAAATGTACCACGAAGATCGGAGATGATGTCATGTAACATTTTTTCTTGCGACTGTTACATATTGCAGTTAATGTAGTTGTAGTGCACTCGAAGGACACAAAGCTATTTAATTCAACGACACGTATAATGAACGTTGGAGTTTGTTCGGTAATATGCCACTGCTCTCGCGAATGTAGTTTTCGAAGAAAAGAAAACGCTGCCGCGAGGAAGTCGGTTGGTATTATATGCGGCGCATTTTCACCTCTTATAAGCGCGCGTCGGTGGAAGAAGCTCATCATCATTGGCAGGATAGGAGCTAAAGCGAGAGAGAGAAAAGTTTTGCGGCGGATCGCCGCGTGAAAATATGGAGTATTCCGCGCTCTGATTCGCGAGCTGCTGCTGCGCTCCGAGGCGCGCACGGATGTAAAGCGCCGGTGAAAAGTCTCGACGGCGAGGGCCCGTGGCACTTATTTAACGAGCTTTTTCTCTCGTCACCCAGACAAAAGTGCTGTGCCTCGATCCGCGTAATACCGAGGACTTGGCTAAATGCTGCTGCTGCTGCTGAGGTATGCTGATACTTTCGCGACGACGTCTTGTGCTCTCGAGTCCTCGAACGTATATCGCCGAGTGCTCTACACACGCACAGACACATACATTGTGGACGTATTTATGAAATTATAAACTCGGGAAAAACGATATACTTGCTCTCTCGGTCTGTGAGTGTGTGTGTGTGTGTCTACTCGAGCGCAAGCCTCGATACGTCGATTGTGTAAGAGCGCGAGAAGTGAAAGCATGATTAGCTGCCTCGGCGATCGCGCGCTGCGCTGCCCCGTGCCGCGCGCGTGTATCGTAATACACAGCAGCAACAGCAGCACATAAAATGATAGATTCGGCGGCGAAAACACGCATATGGCCGAAAATCTCGACCGAATAGTCGACTTCAAAGAAGCGCGAAATTTTATGTCTCTATTGCCGCTCGGAACGATAACGCCAACTTCAAATATGTACACTCGTCGCATTAGCGAGTCTATTTAAACGGTGCAAATAGTAATGTAGCTGCTACAGAGAGTAAGGGTAACGAAAGTTATACATTTGCATACATGTTAATCGTGCCGCGAGCGCAGCTATTTCTCCGACTTTAACTCGTTGAAAATTTTATCCTCCATCGAGAGCTAAATTTCTGCTCAGCAGCATGCGTGGCGTACGTATTTTCAATACGAAAATTGCTCAACGTCAAAATTACAATCAACAGATGCAACTCGATATTTATTGGTCTAAAAAAAAAAGAAGTAATTTTACACATTTAGAGCGACGATCCGGAATGCCGACTATGCGCATAATGACACGCACGCTCCATAGAGCTTACATAAAAATTAGTCACAATTATGAGCATCGATAAGAGCCTGTACGACGCATGTGTGACGTCGCGCTATTGCAGCACTGCGCCTGCTCGGAGCATACCGTAACGCGTACTTGTAATTCGCAAGCACCAGAGGTCACAGGAAGTCACAGCTTCGGTGTCACATACCGAATGCACAACACGTGCGCCGCGCGGATCGCTCGGTGCCGTATAGTAAGGGAGCGCGGCGGGTTGTCTATTGTTCCGATCGTGTATATGTACGCACGCAGCTACTGCGGCTCCGCTCCTCGAACTTGGTCGATTTTTTGTACACGATATAACCAAGCCGCGAGTGGATCTTCGGTCTACTTTCATGCTGGCTGCGTCGATGTTCGCTTGTCTCGTTTCTTTTGTACCTTGCTGTTCTTAACAAAAACAGTGCAAATTTTTTCATACTTTGGTATAGTTTTCTCGTTATGGGCTCGGCTCGGCTACTTTGTATCAAAGTCAATTTAACGAATTGGATTTTTTTCTCACACAGACAATATTTTCCACACATCGTAAAGATTTATTGCAACGACTATCTTTATAAGTACACCACATCGTTGATTATTAAAAGCCGAACGGCGAACGTTCGTTAATTCTGTATCCTTATCTTTGCTGCCTGTAGCAGTCAACGGTTGTAAAAAAATATTTGCTCCCGTGACTAGAATGAAAAATCATAACAATTCTATTTTGACATTGGCTTGTTTTGTGTGCTTTTTTAATCTATATAGTTGCGGGAATGTATTCAAAGTAATATATTGGCACAGTTTTGAAATCAAGTGTAAAACTCAACGTAGCGTGTGGAACAGCGCGGGTTCATACATCAATTTTGCTTTATTATTACACTTTCGATTTTCATATATAAGTGAGATTATAAGAGAATGTATAGTACACAGCGAATAAGTGCAACGTGTCTTTTTTCTTTTTTTGACCGAATAAGAAAATTCCTATCGTCGTCCATGGGCGCTGACTAGACCATTGAAATTATGCGCACAATAGCGTACGGCATGAGAACACAATAACAAATAGTGGCTCGTATGGAGGGCCGGGCGTATATTGCACAAAGCTCTCAAACTCTTCGCACATACATGCATACATATTTAAGTACGGTGCGAGCTGCGAGTCGAATAGAGAAAAAGAGAGAGAGAGACGACGACGAAAAAAGACCCGGCGAAGATAAATGGGCCTCGGCATTAGGTATTCAGCATTCACAGCTATTTGCGCGTATGCATAGAGAACTCGTTTATATACACAATATAGAAGGCACGCAATATCAAATTGGCGCTCGTGAAAAGTCGACAATCGGCATTCAGCGAACCGAGCGACTGCACAACTCGAGAGACACGCTCGGAAACGATTGACAATCGTGACTATACATAAACTAGCCGACACAGTGAAATAATTAATCAAATTCTAGTTTAAATTTTCAGCAGATTTAAGCTCTCTTTTATGTGGGTAAGAACGTCGCTAACGCGTTCAAGACCGTACCGATCGTGATGAAATCAGCGAGCAAAAGATCGAAATTTTTGCAACACAATTATAGCATAACTCGAAGTATATCTCGGAAGGGTCGTAGATCAATGGAGGAGATTTTCGTAGTATTTCGCGCCCCGAGGCCCATGCAACGAAATCCCAAGCACGAGAATAAAAGCCACTAGCATTAAAACCGAGATAACGGCACGGATTATAATGCCACCGAGCGTCAAGCGAGAGCAGCTTGGAAAAGAAAAAGGACCTGCAGCAGTAGCGGCGGCGCACGTGACGGCTTCGCCTTACACATTATGTGTATTGCAGGTATTACATTTGCGCGGCAGCGCAGGTTCAAAAGGATATACGCGTCCAGGTGAAGGCGTGGTTGTCTCTCTTACACACAGCGTATAACGCGTACAACACTCGATAGCCTTCAACGTTATACGCGTAGCGATCGCTCGGACTGTTGCTCAAGAACAAAGTGTATACAAGCTGCAATGCTGCCGCGAGAATATAATATATAACGATCGCGTGGCCTATACCTTCGGCGCGTGGTATATCGAGCGCGGCTTTCATTTCCTTGTCTCCTTTTTAAACAGTCCGCGCGGCGGCAATTAATTTATCGCGCGAGCGCGCGCCGTATTTTCGACCGAGGAAAAGTCGAGCTGTGCGCGCGATCTCGCGCTGCAATAACAACGGCTTCGCGCACAGCTGATATATAAATCGAGAGCCGACTTATCGCCCAGGAGACGAAGATGGTTCCCGAGCGTGCAGTCGAGCGCGCCGCTGCAAGCTGGGCCCAGAGGAACACTTGGACGAAGCTCTCTCTCTTTTTTCCTTTTTTTCGTACAATTTATGAATTTGGTCGTCGCGGTGTTACGTGAACGTGCGCGGGAGAGATAGCCAACGCGATCGCGAGGTTTACGACCGCGAGACTTTTTGCCATGTGGTCTGGATGCGCTTTAGTCGTTTTAAGCAAAAATGCATTACGTATATAATTCTTTTTATCGTTGAGCAATGTTGTAATTATTACGAGGCTCGCGCGCGCGCGCCTCTACCGCCGCCGCCAACATTCCGTATATAAATACTCGACGGGGTATTAAAATATTTCTGTAAAAGACAACGCGCATTAGCTCGGCAAGCATGGCCGTTGTTTAAGTTCTCGTTGTTGCGACAGCAAGAGATTCTCGAATAACGAGTGCACAAAGGAGCAGAATGACCATGTAAAAGCGTCGCGATTGGCCTAGGATTATAATTGGCGATGCCGAACGATCGATGCTCCCACAGGGTCGATTTTAAATTTGAATCTCGATTGGCGAGTCGGTGCAGGGCGCGCGAAACTAGATGCGTGCGGAGTTCCGCTGAGCTCGACGATCGGTCCAAGGCATATGTTGTGGGCTGCAAAGTCGCTTGGAGCACTCGTACGCGTTGAGCGAGCCGCTGCACTGTACAACGTTTTTGAAAGTAAATTTCCGAAACGATCGGCGTATAGGATAACGAGCTGCGACACACACATACACACACACACACACACACACACAGGCCATTATACGCTCACATTGTCATTGCGATATAGGCGAGAGCTGCAGCGGTGTCGCGCGCTGCTGCGTGTATACCGACTGAGTTTCGGTCAGCACAAATGAGCGTATAAGCGTATGATATACTCGGCACACTGGCAGTGCTGCAGTGCAACGCTGTGTGCATGTGTTGTTGGCGCGTTGTTGGTACGCGTCGAGGCTCGCGAGCGAGAGATTGGCTTTGGCGCTGCGCTAGAAAGTCTCTCTGATTGTACTTGCGTATATACCTGCAATGCCGCGGCGATACTTATATACTTACACGCGGGCTCGCACTCTCGCGAACGTCGCTCGACGCGATCGTATTATACATATAGCACGCGTACGAGCACGCCACATGCAACATAACATTCATTTTTTTTATACCAAACTCCATTTGGCTTATGCAGTACAATTTTCGTACGGTACACGTTTTGTTGCACGCGTATGGACGCATTGGTAATACCTCTCCTGCTGTACCATACGATTGTATGCATGACGTTCGCGAAGGACCTTTTTTCTCTTCGATCAACGCGATTGTTTTTATAGCAACAATCGGTGGTCATTGACTTTAATTTCGGACAAACTATCGAGGCAACTGTTGCTTCGAGCATTTTTTCAAATGAAACTCAATGTTTTCGTTTTTCAATTTGCCTAGTTTTTAAATTCTCGACCGTCGAATATAATCACGCAAGAAACACGTTTTTCTTCTGATACCTCGAAAAATCGGCATGAATCGAAAACGTTTTACAAAATACGTGTCAGTGTTATGATTCTAGAGTATACATACGATACATATGCTGGCAAGCCATTTAAATAGCCGACTAGACTGCTTTTACTTTTCATTTTGCACTTGCCGAGCGAGCAGGCGAACCATATTAATGTTCGTAATGCGCGACATAAGGCGCCTTAATGAATTTCTAAAGGCGAAGTCAACGTATGAGAAAGTGATCAAAAATCCAATACTTGTGTATATGAATAACCAACTTTTATTTTGGTCGCAGTTACTTCGGGCTTTTGGGGCCTCTACAAAAATATATGTGTAACAAATGTTTGTACTGTAACGTAGAAAAATATTGTCATATATCGATTCGTCCTTTTGATGACATACAAATACATTTTTTAATGAATGAAAGTAATACATAAACTTAATTTAACTTACGCGTGTAAATGTGCGTGAAGGGAACAATAAAGTGAGCTTAAAGTAGCTTGCCGTTGAGCGGAAACAAAAAATTATCGATACAATCTAACGTTGAATGATATGCTTTACATGATGCTTTTACAAGTTTGTGTTTCCTCATAGAATTACGTATTTTAAAAATTAACTCGGTGTAAAAAATGAAATTCAACATTTAATTAAATAAGATGTCAAACAAATTAACTTAAATAAGATCACGATTTTGATCTTAATCGTACAGTATAAAAAGTCACAGTAAAACGTTCATGTGTAGCTTAGTAAAAAGTGCTGTATAGTAATTTATACTTCGTTGTTGATCATTCGTTAATAATTATTTTATATACTTTAATTTAAAAATAATCAAGTATGAATATTTACTTGATGCAGCACAAAATTTTATTATTAAAAAACTATTATATTTTAATAACGATTCTTGATGAAATTAAAAGTTCAATGTTGGCTGATTTGTTATAATTATAATGAATTATAATATTTCCAAATTAAAATTTAATTTTTTGGAGCACACTCAAGGCCAATTAATTGCTTCATCATAAATTTAAAATAGCACTCAATATAACTAATAGTTTAGTTTTAAAGTTAAGCCTAAAAAATTTAAATAGGCTAAAAATTTTTGAGATTTCAACGTTTTAACAAAAAAAAAGAAAAAAAATTAACGGTAAAATGAGGGATAGATTAGGAACATTTTTCTTCACTCGCTATTACTCGCCAGGCACACAAAGAAGGATCTTATGAGGACAATTTGAAACACTGATCGAGGAATTTGCCCATCGAGTGATACAAATGAGTGCGGCTTCGAGCGATGTCGTGGGTCTCGTCGGTGTAAGTCTGCTGCTGGAACAGAATGTCCTGCTCCTCGAGCAACTTGGCGAGGAAGAGCGACTGCTGATAGTGCACGTTGTCGTCGAGGGTGCCGTGAATCAGGTAATAGTCCTTGTTGCGTATGTTGGCCACCTTGTTCAGCAGCAGGCTACGATTGTAGCCGAGCAGATTGTCGTCGCTGTTGGGCAGGCCCATGAATCGCTCGGTGTAGATGGAGTCGTAGAGGGTCCAGTCGGTGACGGGCGCCACCGAGATGCCGCACTTGAAGGTGCCGCGCAGATCCATGGCCAGCGCCATGCCCGTGGCGTAGCCGCCGTAGCTCCAGCCCCAGATGCCGGTGCGCTGGCTGTCGATGTAGGCGAAATTGTTCTGCAGGTAGGCGGTGACGTTGAGCTGGTCCTCGATCTCCACCGTGCCGAGGCTGCGATAGACGGCGAACATCATGCGGTTGCCCTTCAAACCGGTGCCGCGGCCGTCGATCGACGCGTAGATGATGCTCTTGTTCGTCACCAGGTACGTGCCCCAGTCGATGTTGAATTTGTCGGTGACCTCGTTGGTATCGGGCCCGCCGTACACGTAGACCAGCATGGGGTACTTGGTCCTGCCCGAGAGATCGGCGTTAGGCGGCAGCAGCATCTTCACGCGAGCCTCGAAGCCACCGGGCACGGGCACTCGCAGCTTCTTCTGGATGGGCAGCGACTTTTTGCCTATTCGTTTCGCGATGGCGCGGTTGCTCTCCCAGGTGACGATTCTCTTGGAGTCGCGGTCGTGAATGGTGACCTCGGGCACTCCCGGCCCGGCACAAGTCAGGGCGTAGTACGAGCTGTCCTGGGAGAACTCGGCCGAATTGTAGGTGCAGTCGCGGCGACTCTCGAGATCGTCGTCGTCGTCGTTGCCGCCGCTCGTGATATTGCAGCTGAGGCAACGAGGCACGGCGTTGAGTCCCTCGGCGCTCGACACCCGGTACAGATGCTTCTGAGCCGGATCCTTCTCGGTGTTGGCCAGGTAGTAGACTTGATTGTTGGCCTCGTCCCAGGAGACGATCTCGAGCACGACGAACAGGCCCGACGTGAGGGCGGTGGTCTTGGGAGCCGGACTCGTCGCTTCGGACACGAGGGTCACGTGTCGCCAGTAGTCGTTGTCGTTTTGCTTCTGCGGCAGGATCAGCAGGAAGGACTTGCCGTCTTTGCTGAACAGAGGCGGAATGAACTGCTCGACCCAGCCGTGCTTCTCTCTGTACTCGAGGGCTGTGGAGCAATTGTGATTGGCGACGCTGCACATGCGGAAGTAGGCCTGATTCTGGACTCGATTCATCCAGGTGACCGAGACCAGGTCCTCCGTGGGGAAGGCCACAGTGGCCAGAATGGCCTCCTGATTGGCTAGCGGCGCCGGGGGCTTGATCTCGACGAGTTCTACGTTGCTGCCTTTGGCCACAGCCTCCAGGTCCACGTGGAACAGCTTGACCGTGGGATTACGCACGCCGCTCTTGGGATAGTGCACGGGAATGACCGAGGGATACTGATTCCTCGGGCCCGGCAGGCCGTAGTAGGGTATGCTCATGATGGGCGTGAAGGTGTCGTCGAAGTAGCCGAAAGCCAACTTGTTGCCCGAGGGCGAGAACCACATGGCCTTGTTGGAGGCGAAGATCTCCTCCTCGTAGACCCAGTCGGGCACGCCGTTGTAGACGCGGCCGAATTCGCCCGTGTGCGTGATCTGATAGTCCTTGTCGATCTCGGCCTCGGGCCTGTAGTAGATGTTGCTCTGGTAGACGTAGACGAGGCCGTTGCCCTCGGGGGCCCACAGAGCCAGCTGCAGGGCTCCCAGGCCGTTGCTGCGCAGCAGCGTCTCCTCCCGCGTCTCCAAATTGACGATCTTGTACTGGGCCAGGTAGGTGTGACGGAAGAGCCTCTGATAGTTGAAGGCCAGCAGCAGGTACTTGCGATCGGCCGAGAACTGCTGGTCGAAGCTGGCCATGTTGGCGGTCCTGCTGATGTTGAAGACGCTGCGCGATCGCCTCGCCTGCACGTCGAAGATGACGATGTCGCCGTTGTCGTCCTCGTAGAGTATCTCGCGGCCGCTGAGCCAGGTGCCGTTGAAGCTGCGCGCGTTGAACGAGCCGTTGAGCCACTCGCGGAGCGTCACGCCGGGATAGGCCAGCGCCGGCTGATCGCTCTTCAGGGCGTCCACGTCGCTGGCCTTGTGGTTGCCCAGTAGGGGCACGGCCGCGCCGGTCACCACGAGCACCAGCACGAACAACAGTATCATGCCGATGATCCAATTGCGCCGCGAAGCCGTGTAATTCCGTGTCGTCATGTCACTTATATCGAACACAGAGTCCTTCATTCTACGATAACGCGCGGCCTTTTAAAGCTGCTGCTACTGCTGCTGCGGCTGCTGCGCAGCTGATCGTAGACTCGCACAACAACACAACACGCAGACAGCTGCTGCCAGTCTCGGATCGCGAGGCTCGCACTCTCGCCACTACGGACGGTACGACACTAAGCCGCGTAGTCGCGAGCGCGACTATGGCTTATCGAGCGTGTAGTGCCGCGCGCCCGCCGTGTAGTCTCTTAGAGAAACCTCTCGCTGCTCGTGCGTCGCTGCAGGCCCACAGGTAGAGAGAGAGAGAGAGTGAGAGAGAAAGAGAGATAGAGAGAGAGTGTTAATTTTTTTTTATCTTGCTTCTCTATATAGCTGATTACAGGCTGTGTGTGTGCGTGGTGCGCCTCGGCCTGGCTCTGGCCTGCCTCTCTTAGGTACACAGCGCCGCACGAGACTGAAAGAGGAAAATTAAAACGATTGGGTGCCAGGAGCAAAGTCAGATATAGACAGAGAATAGCTAGCTTCGCATACACATTATAATACTCAAATAGCACTCGTATTCACACACATGCTCATGCCACACACGTTCGGAGCATCGTAACGTTCTTTATTTTTATTATTTTTTTTCTATATGTGAAAACAAACAGTAGTCGTATTAAAACTTTAATGGCGCATGGAAAAGTACGATTATCGGTGCGTAAGTGATTATAAATTATTAGAAACGAGAGTGTATATACGGCGCAGAGTTTCGAAACAACTATATACATATGCAGCAAACATTGCGCAGAATTATTGAACGATTTGTGCTTATACGAATGTGAATTATTACGCGCGACCGTGATGACTTTACGACGCTCTCGGTGGCATGTGATTCGAGTTTGACGTTAAAGAGAAGTATTATTTAAGTCTCTATTAGAATTACAAGCTTTGTTTTGAATGTGTCAATTACACCGGTGTTACACCTATCGTACAATGACAGTGGTCTTCACATTGAACTGATAAGTACGGATCGGATTCGAGTCCACTTTTTTAGCACATTTTCCAGCACTCTGTGCGATCGATAATTAGAATTCAGATCAGCGCGAGTTTGAATGAATTAATATTCAAAGGACAGCGTAGCGCAAAAAATAAATGCCACGCTCGAGAGCTAGGAATTTTAATCGCTCGATGAATCACTTCCAGAACGAATTATACTTTTATTATAGCAAATTGATGCAGTTTAAAATGTAAGAAAATTAATTGCCTTCGTGCTTTACATGCAAGCGTAAAAAAGTTGCTGCGAAATGGGAACGAAATAAGTTAAATCATATAAGAAGTACTAAGCAAAGTCTTTTGTCGACGGTGTATATTATCACGGCGGATGCGACCTGGCACGATAAGGATACGCGTCTATACACGAAGGCTCCGAAAAGTCGGATATACGCCCAAACGAGTGCCGAGAAAAGAGTTTGAGGTACACACGAGGTGCGAGCGTAATTCGAGATAAACGTAAGGCACACAACACAACGAGAGAAGCAGACTCAACTGAGAAATATAGAAGAAGCTAGCTAAGAATAAAGCCGTACCTTACACAATAATCTCCATCCTGCCGAGATGGATCGGCGCGGGCAAATGCGGCGCTACTAGCTAGCTAGTGCTGGCGAAGAGACTCTGCAGCAGATCGGCGCATTGCCGCCGACAGCCGAACGGCTTTTCGGGTCAAGGTGCTGGCGGCGCGGCACTGCTTATTTGTACTTGCAGGCAGCGGCTCGCAGTCGCTCAAGCAGGACGTTTACCAGATATATACCTATATTTTCTTTGTCTTGCACTTTGCAGTAGTAGAAGAAGAAGCAGAAGAAAAAGAAGAAAAGCGTCGAGTTGTGCGCGAGGCTAGCGAGCGCAGGGCCGGAAACGCAGTGGTAGTCGCGTCGAGAAGTTATAGCTGCAGCTTTCGGGTAAAAGCGAGCGGCGCGAACACATCCGCGAGAGACAATTCGACATCCGCGACGTCGATCGAGCTCCGAAAATCTCTCGCACAGGCCGCTGCACAGTCCCACGCGCTGCAGCAGCTGCAACTGAAGGACACCTCCGCGGCTACTATCGATGCTGCAGCAGGAGAACTCCTGGGTCAGCCAGTCGCGCTGGGCTGCGGCGCAGGTACTTTCGAGCGGCGGCACTGATATATCGTGACTGCGGCGTGGCTGGTCGCTGCTCGCAGCTCGGCTCTGCAGTACTACCGACATGTCGGCTGTAGCACCTTTTACGTAATGGACTTTCGCATGTTGTTGGAATAATACCACCTACTTATGTGTGTGTGCGACTCTTCGTCGTATTATATATTGTGCGTAAAACGTTACACGTTACACACACACATACACATGGTACGACTCGTATGTCAAGGTATATATTATAATATGAGCATTGAATCCTTCCCTTCTCTTGTTGTACAGTTTTTCCCATATGGCGATCCTCGTTTACGCACGTTTATACATTACGTGCGTATTATTATGATACACACCTCGACATAAGCTCACGCGCGCGCCTCTACCCACGCGCACAGCACACACGGACACACACGCACACTCTTCCAATATATTATGATAGCTTACTCGTGTGCATATAAATCAGTGTCGGTACTTTTGTACGTATGTGTGTGCCGTGTGTGAGTGTGAGCGCACGAGCCGATCGCTACGCGCTAGATAACGAGTCAGACATCGAGGTCAATTTACTTGCAAGCTCTCCTATTTGAGCCGCTGCTGCTTTTTCTCTTTCTCTCTCTCGTTCCTTTGCTGCACATATATATATAGCCGTCAAGCGCGCGATTGCAGCCGCGATTTGAACCTTTGTGCGGTATAGTGCAGTTTCGTCGACGTTAAAAATAGCCAGCTCTTGCGCATTACGGGCCGCTCGCTGCTATTATAATGAGCACGTGTATGCGCGCGCGCGTCTCCAGCGCCAGTCCAGGCGCGAGCTTTTTCCGCGTACACGGGACATCGTATACGTAGATCCCGACTCCCGAGTAATCGCAAATATACAATTACAAACATGGACGAACGAGTTGTGTCGTCGTGTGCCGGAGAGCGCAGGAGCGAAAAATTTCTTTTCCAAGAACCGTATCGATGACTCGTGGACGAGAATCGATTATATTTAGTACAGCAGCAGAGAGATACGAAGAAAATGACGGGACAGGCGAAAATCGCTGACTGTAGCGCCGCTGGCTGCAGTGATTGAATCTATCAGAAAATCTTGCCGATGTGTGTATGTACGTGACAAGCGTCTGGCGCTGACGTGACTCGTAAAGCTCTAGACTGAAATTACATCTGCCAATAAACGTATTCAACGCGCCTGCAGGATGAACATAGTGTCACAATGAAATTTTCGACTCTGTCAAAAGGGGCAACGTCGAAGATTGAACTGTCGTAAAAATAAGGATATAAAGATGGTGTTTCAAACTTTTAAATAATTTTATACGCTAACTATAAATTAACCGGTCAACAAAAGTCGACTCGGTCGACATTGCAAAAACTTCCCTCTCTGCAGTGGCCTTTATACGGACATTGTGTCGAGATCGCTATCTGAGGCACCTCGGAAAATTCAGTCGCATCGAAGCGGTTTTTAATGCACATTTGCGGGATGAGAAAACCGGTATTCTCTCTCTCTCTCTCTCTTTTCTCTCTCTTATGGAGCAGGCGATATATTTCGTCGACAAAATTTAACCAAGCGTTAAGAAAATTCGCGCTCGTTTCTTCGCCTCTTATTAGTTTATTGTGTAAGTTGGCTGTGTACAGCGCATGCAGCAGACACAGCTAGCTCTATTATAAGGTAAAAGTGTCGGTGCGGTGGTTTTTATCCTTGGTACTCTTGGTATAACCGACTGACTCTTGCCATGCTATTTTTCCTCGTCACTGCTGAGATCTCCCTTTCGAGACAATTTATGCGAAATATAATTTTATGCATGGAGAAAACTTCTTGCGCTCAAAGTTTTAGCATGACTACTTCGACGTGTGTATGTGTGTGTGTGTGTGTATGTATCTCTTATAATGTATGTACAATGAATGATTGGCATTTTTACTTGCGCGCACACACACTATTCTTAATGTTTCGTTTTCTAAATACGTCTGTGGTGAGAGACATTTCACGCTCATTACACTCGCCTTCGCGTTATTATTTTTGTGAAAATCAAAGGTACGAGTTTGATTATTAATTTATCTGCATGACCTACATCAGTGCTTCGCCAATGATGCGAGGATTTTTTTTTCAAAAATGATTTTTGCAGAGAGCGCGTGGGAACATTTAGCATTACTACAGATATAAGTTAATCGTTAACTGCGAATTTGAAAATCATACTTTTCAAACAAATTACATCATACGCTAAACAGAAATTTTATAAAAATAGATTATGATTTGACAAAGCTGGTATTATGAAGAAGTAAATAATAATTTATGCAATTTTTTCGTGTAGATGCTATTGATTTTGCCACTACAACCGAAGTAAACTTTCATATTATTAGTTATTTTTTTTTTGTAAATTCTCAGAAAAATGTATCGATGCATAAATTTTGATCAAAATCTTATCCGAAAGTTGCAAATATTCATTAAAAAAAATGAACTATAAAGTTTGTCTACCCAAATGAGATTTTTCAAAGATTAGCATCGTGCGCTAATGATCACGCGACAATTGGGTAATTAGTTTCAAAAATTGAATAATTTAGCCGCGGCTACCGACACAAGAAGGTCGAGCCGGGAACATTGAAGTCTTGACGAAACAAGTTATTACAGTTGCTCGCTGAGTCAGTGTTGAGTGAAAAATTTGCCTGGAGCATTCGGCGCAAGGCTGCTGCCTCTTACCTGAGACGCGCGAGCATCTGTCAAAAGAAGCACTTGCTATTCTACTCGCGTACCAAATATTTAGTCGAAACCAATACAATAGCGTCGAGTGCATTGCTCTATTGCGTGTTTGTTAGGATTTCAAATTTCTAGGATCATAACTATCAGCTCTGCCATCTATACCCAACGTATTGCGACTCGAGAGTTCACTTGTCACGATACCCGATTGGAGCCTGCCTGTCCGTGGCTTTTGAATGACCTTAGTTATAAATGTATGTCCACGCACATATATTTTATATTCATAAATATTTATGAACGATTTTTTTTCGGCACTTGCATAGCCGCCAGTTTGGCAGCATCGGAATCCAAGAATACATTATAATGAAGCTTTAAAAATTCGCCTGACGTTCGTCTCAAGACCAATGCCATGTATCGAATACCTGTATGCTTTGTTATTTGCGACGAATCGATTTTACGAATCGGGGAATTTGCCACTTTCTTCATTTGTTGAACGAATGGACATTGAAAAACTGTTTCTAAAGTTATTTAAGTCCATGAGGTTTTTTCATTATCATATTTTCATGAATCTTCACGCCTCTGCGTCCATTTTTGCTCGTTTAAAAAAAAGAAAGAACCTAAGATGTATACTGATACCAGACATCGATGTAGTTGCGGTGAATTTAACTACAGAAACTATTGTCAATGATACGGACGAGAAAGTTTGACGCATATCATATACGAAATCGAAATCGTAGCTCGATACATTTTTACAATGAAATAAACTCTGGTTCAATAAACTCTGTATTAACAATGAATTTTAATGATAGACAAAGACACTACATGTCACTGAAGAAAGGCAATTTATATCATAACAATATTTTTTAACACTTCATTCATTATTGTAACGAATATAAGGTATTAAAAATTGTTGCTATGTACGAACTGTTGATAATTTTAATTTTAACGTGATGATTTAATTAGTTCCCCGTAAATCAGTAATACGCATGGTATTTTTTAGATATTTAATTCAACGGAATAAAAGAAATGTATCGAGATTAAAATTTTATTTCAAAATTTTCTGATTTAATTTTGTATTTTCGTCCAATTTAAAATTGGACGAGTATTTTATTTATAAAAGTCGAATCGGTGCAATGGAGAACGAAAAGTTTCATCATTGACATCTGAAAACTCGTTACCCTTTAAATAAAGCAATCGAAACCTTGAAGTCGTCGACACTAACGAACGCGCGACGAACACGACGATACTTTTGATAGCATCATTTTGCTTTTCGTCGTCCAAAGCAACGCAAACACGCCAAGTTGCGATATATTATATACATTTATCCGTTTAAATCCTACAGGCTGTAATATATATTTCTTTTTTTCGATTTTTTGCTCCGATCATATTCGAGCCCGATACTTTCATTTTCAACGGGAGCGCGAGCACAAGTTTGTATAACGTAGTAGTAGTAGCAGCAGCAGCGTGTTTCAACGAATGAAAAACGCAAAGTAACTGCTGCAGACTTAGCGCATTGATTAGAAGCGAGCGAGTTTTTCGTTAGAAAGCGCGATTTTTTCGCGTCGAATTGTCTGCGAGGAGAAAATATTGTGTATCGTTGTCGAGCACGGCAAAGAAACTATACGAGGATGCACAGACGCGAAAAAGTACCTGGCAAGCTGATCAAATAATAATAGCGACTCCGTGTTATAAAGCCAATACATATGTGTCTTGGGTGCACGAATGCACTTGGAAGGATAGTAGATGGTACGTTGAATCAAGGATGTGTCACTAACCTTTTCGTGTTAATCCCTCATGAAAAAGTGAGTCTAGGATGCTGCTCCGTGCACGGCTCTTGTCGTGAGCAGCGGTCAGCGAGACGCGTCTTTCTTTGCTGCGGAAATTTCCTTTTGTCCCAGGGTGCGAAGAGATATCACACTCGCGAATGAACACCGTGTGTGGATGTGTATTTATGCGCTGTGGCAAACTCGTGTACCTGCAAGGATATGCGTGTCTGTCCGTCTGTCTGTGTGTGTATGTGTGTGGTGCAAGTGTGAGTGAGTGAGTGAGTGAGCGCGAGCGTATGCGTAAGCGCGCAGTTACACCAAGAACGAGGGAGCGAACACCGATTGGCGAGTTGCACTGCACTCGGTTACTTTCGCGGGGAAAACTTTCAAGGCTGCTGCTACTGCTTCTGCTGCTGTCGCTGTCGCTGGTGCTGTTGCCGTTGCTGTTGCTGCTGCTGCTGGCGTCGTTGGCTGCGAGGAACGATATCCTCGCGCAAAAACACGTCTGCAGTTTCGAAAGAAGCACAACGGGGAGCAACGCGATCAGCTGAGTTTCGGGGCCTTGCGTCGCGGGCACGAAAAAAAAAAAGAGAGAGAGAGTATACTGTAGCGGATCGCTGCTTGCGAACTGCGGCTTGCTGCTGCTGCTGTAATTCACGTGTTCGTGCGGTGCGGCGCGTCTTAGTCCGGCTTCGAGACTGACGAGGCGAGCGCGAAAAACAAGAGACTCGAGTCGAGCTATAGAGGTAAAGGCGACTTATCCGCGGCCCACGGCAGCAGCGAAGCTTTCTACGAGTCGAAAGGGGCCCCTCCGCGAGCGGCTACGCCAGGAGGGGGACCCCAAGTGTGGGCCCATGCTGTACACGCGCTCCTGTATACGCGCTGCACGCGGAGCTTCGATAACAGGTGACTCTCGGCTGTTCGGCTTAAATTTGCCTCGCGTAAACACGGAGAGACGTTTCGCGGACGGGCCAGCGAAAGGCCCACCTGACTCTCTGCTGCTATAGGCGAAACGATTTAGCAGTTCGTTGCAGAAATTGCAGCGTTGACCTTATGCGATTCGCAGCTTTAAACAGTTTAACGCGAGCTTTGAGAAAAGGCTACTTATTCCAAGAGATAATTAAAATGACTTAATGAAAGGATTAATAGTGTCGACATTTCGGGCGTGATTGAGAAAGCCTTTAAAAATAACATGACGATTCAGACAAGAGATATTAATCCTTAGAAAATCCATCGCCTGGAGCAATATATCTGGAGATGGCGCAGTCTGAGATTTTTGAACCATGATAACGTCAGTCATTTCGACCAAGCTATGAGTCTAAATTTTATAAAGATTTTATTTTTAAATGTTTTTTTTTACGTGGATTCATATTGACAAAATAAATTAGTAAAGTTCCCGAATTTTTTGTCCCATTTGTAAAAACCCGCTTAGCTATAAATAAGAAGAGTTTTTGAGCGAGAAAAGGTTAATTTAATTTGAAGCCAATGTCATACAAATTTTCAACAAGCTGAAATATGTAGGTTTGGTATATATTTTGGTTCAATTCGCAGAAAATGATTTTTACTTAGCGGCGTTACTCGCCAGTATGAAATTTCGCAATTACTCCATTTTTCTCTCGATATTAATTAAAGATAAGAGTTTAGAAACAGGGTTAAGCTTAAAAAATTTTAGCCCTATACAATTATGCTTAAATAAAATATTTTTTTTTTCATCAAACCGATAATGCGTAATGTAAAAATAACATGTGTCAAATACCGATCTTATACTAGTGCTATGCGTGAAAGTAGACAGTTTTTCGATGGTCGATTTAATTAAATGATTTCATGGGCTAGGTTACTTTCACATCAGTTAGCACTTGTTTCCAAATTGTTTTGATAAATTCAACTTGTTTCAATTTTAGTAATATTTTTCATTGAAGAATAGAAACCCATATTTTTGGATATACTTTTATAAGTATATAGAATTTAGAAAATCTAGCATATTTTACTCATTACGATTTTTTCTTTTATTAACAAAAATTCAATTTATAAATGTTAAGACAATCAAGAATAAATCATTTTTCAAACATTTATATAACTTTAAAATCATCTTCAATTTAAATTACAGAAAACGTGTATGAGTATTTTAATTCCTTATTAATGCTAAAACCTTTATAATAAGAATTTTACCTATTATACAGGGGGTTTTCGAATAAAACAATTATGTATGAAGAAATCATTTTCTTTATATAAAGATTATCCTTTAAATTTTCAAAACTCACGACGAGCAAGCAATAATTTTTGCTTCCGGAATAAGCTCAATCACGCGTCGTAAAAAATGTCTTCAAATTTAATTTAATATTTTCGTTGTGCATTTCGAAAAATCTATTTATCGAACATCCCACAGAACTATATCTTTGGGGCTTTGGGCTCTTTGGAGTTGCTACCTAAAAGTGCCACAACATCAACAACAACAATAACAACAACTGAAGCTATGTACCGGATTAGAAAAATATTAGCTTTACGTATTAAAACCCTTTTTTCAAAATGTTCAATTTTGGCTCAATCGAACCTGATAGTCACTATCTAATAAATTTTTATTTTACAATTTTTTCATCTTGAAAATGTATGAAACTTCGGCTTGAAGTTTGATTACATTGAAAATTTGTTTATTGTCTCATTAAAAAATCTTCATTTTGTTTTTAAATATAAATTTATATTTTTCCTTTTTTATATTCAAGGTCGAAGTCCCGAAAACATTCTCGTTCTTACACATAATTATTGACGGCACAAAACGCTACGTTTTTTATTTTTTACTTGATGATTCTCGTTTTTCAAGTCTTCAAAAGTTTTATCGGCATTGCTTTTAGGATGATGTTTTAACGCAAATTTTATTCGATTGCCTACGTTTTGCAAATATTTCTTCTTCATATAATAATAATTTATATATATAATAATACTAGTATCAATAAATTGATTTATAATTTATAAAAAGCATTTTTATTATGACTTTTTGAGTTCTTTGTGAGTTCTTGAAAAATTTCCAGTAAAAATTGTATAGGACTTTTTCTTAAGTCACTCGGGACTGAGTCAAAACTATTTGAACTGTACAGAAATTCAAAGAATAAAAAAAATATTTCCAATGGCAAACACTAAACCATTTAATCATTTTAATACTTCACAAACATAATTTATGCAAATCATAATTTTTGTTTATTTATCAAAGCAACCGTAGATATTTTACCATTAATTAAAACTCCTATGACTAATTGAATTTAATTTTTAAGATCACATTTGTAATAACGTTATGCACTGTTCGGTGTGGGTTTTTATACTTCTTTTTTGTATAAATGTTTCTCTGCATATACAGCGCTTGTGTGTAAGATAATTTTGCGTCAGTATGAGTGAAATTTTTATTCCAATTTTGGTGTATATTTAATTATAATTAACATCGATATCGTCATCGATGTTATCGATGACGGTATCATTTTTGAGTACAGAGATGTTAAATTGGAATCAAAACCTTCATTGAAAACCACTGTAAAATCAGGAAATCAAACAAATGACTTGAATGAAAAAAGGCTGATAATTTTAATAAGAAAAGGATTCGATTACGATAATAACTGTCGATTTTGGGAAAAGTCTCAATTGCAGCTTGACGAATCTCAGAAGGTGAAAATATTCGAAAAAAGAACTCGAAAAAGTGTATAAGGTATCAAAAAAATAATCAGGGGAGAATCTAACTTATAAAAAAGAGATGGACCTAAAAGTGAAGCCAATCTATTCGGCCTCTGATTGGTCGACTGACTTTTGACTCGAGTCGAAACGTAATAAAGTGACATCTACGGTCAAAATAGCAACTTTTTCGAAACTGACTGAAAGATGTACGCGCGCGAAGCGCGCCTGAAAGTCACTATAACCTCAAAAAACGAGTGAAAAAATTAACACGCGCGGAGCGCGTTTGAAACATACTAGTCGAATTTAAAAAGGAATATCAAAAGGGCGTTAGATGACTCGAATGTGAAGTTTGCAACAAGTAATTTGCAAACAGAAAAAACCTAAATCATCACATGAATTTAGTACATGATCAGAATAAACCCTTCGAATGTGATATATATCACTAGTTATATAGCCAAATGAATTACCTCAAAAAACACATAAATGCAGTACATGATGGAAACAAACCCTTCGAATGTGACAAATGTCACAAATCCTATGGTGACAAGAGTGACCTCAAACGTCACGTCAATACAGTACATCTTCGGAGCAAACCTTTTGAATGTGAGATTTGTCGAAAATCATTTCGACCAAAAGGTCACCTTAAAATTCACATAAATACAGTAAATAATCAAAGCAACTCTTTTGATTGTGATATTTGTCATAAATTCTTTGGACAAAAACAAACGCTTGCAATGCACACAAGTATAGTAAATATTGGGAGCAAACCCTTTGAATGTGAAATTTTTCACCAATCATTTTCAGACATGTGTAATCTCAGTATACACATAAATACAGTACATAGTCGGAGTAAGACCTTCGGGCGAAAATATACTCTCAAACGTCATGTGAACTTAGTACATGATCGTAGCAAACCCTTAGAATGTAAAATTTGTCATATCATTTGGGTGGAAGAGTGGCTTCAAAAGACATACCAGTACAGTACATACCAGTATATAATCGGAGTAAGCCCTTTGAATGTGAGATTTTTCATAAATGGTTTGGACGAAAAGAAATGCTTGAAAGGCACATAAGTACAGTACTCGATACTTATACGAATGCAGTAAAAATTATTTGGATATCACAGTCGACTTGAGCGTTCCGTCAACGTTGAATATAAAGTGATGCCAGATAATTTTCGATAAATGATTCTAAAAATTTTTACTGATAAGACCTTTTGGGATTTTAATTAATTTTGTATTTCTGCATTATTCATTTAAAGAGAAATCACTTCAGGTTTTCTGATACAATACAACGTTTGAAAATATTTTTCAAACTAACAAAAATCATTTATTTTTGTAAAAATAAAGTAAAAATAACTGTTTATATTTCAAAGATAATTAAATTTATTGTCAATTTTCATACTGGTAATTTACAACGACGTCTGATAATAATAATGTATAAGTATAGCAAGCTATACCATACATTGGTTGAAAATTTTAGTAGTATATCTTATGCAGGTAATGCTGGTAAGGATGGTATCATTACTTTTTAACGATTCCGTCAGATGTCAGTGATACATAAATTCATGGGCCTTATCTTCATTTCTGCATAAAAAGGATATGACAGAGTTTTCATATTTTGGCGCATCACTTGACACTTTGGGAAGTTCATAAAAATATTTATACATTTTATATTTTTTGTTACAAATATTATTTTAAAAATCAACTAAATTCTATTTCCCCTCGCATCTTTGTACAAATCCTCATTTATTCCATATAAACGCGGAGAATCTTGACAATCAACCTGTATCAAAAATAAAAAAATGTAACAAATTTATTTATTTTATATTGTAACATAGATTAATTTAAAAATGTATACCTTGAACCACCAATCGCAGACACGAGTTGTTTGACTGAACACCGTACCATTGGGACAAAGAAAACTGAATTTTTGTCCACCGGGCACGCACCAATGCCATACCTAAATATTTAGTACATTATAATTGTTAGATCATTTAACAAAAATATTATTATTTCATAAAAAAACATTGTGCTTACTTGACATCTAGTATCAGGATCGGCATAATAGCCTGGTATTTTATTTCTACAGGTGAAACTCAAACCGAATGGAACAGTGTTGTAAATAGGGTAGTCTACTCCAGGCGTATATCCATCTACTTGCTGTAATATAAAATATCGTTATTTCTAGTTCAAAATGAGAAGTTTCTTCACATTAAATCATTAGTATTTTTTTTAAGTAATAGTAATCTCTAATTATATAATGTTTATAGATCATTTTGTTTGAATTAAAACAGAAAATAATAATGAAGTTATTAACATCGATGAATGTAAGTGAAGCCCATTAAGCCATTCAGCTTAAGGGGGGGGGGGGGGGNGTATTTTTCGCAAAAATTTTCGATACTTTTTTTATTGTCTTATTCGATTCTATATACATTCAAGAGTATTCAGTTAAAATTTTAAGCCAATCGGAGCAAAATTAACCAAGATATGGCCATTTTAAAGCACGTGCAAAAAGGAAGAAGGACTGTACCTCAAAATCTTTAAACGCGTTTCCTGAACAACAGCATTTTCAAATACGGTGTACATCATATCTCAAAAACTTATTGACCGATTTTTTTGAAATTTTACACCGTTATTTATTAACTATTTTATTAGGTAGTGACGTTGAGATATTTTCATTTTTGGGAAAATTTTCATTTTTTTCCAACAATTTTCCGAAAAAAAAGTGTTTGATTTTTCCCATTTTTTCAACTTCAAAATCACGCCAAATTTTCAAAAATGAAAATATTTTAAAAAACTCGACGTCTGTACCTTCAGAATCCTCTAAACTAATAAAAAAATGTGATTAGGCTTGTTTCTGATGATTCTGCGAGGAGTTATCGTGTACACCGCATTTTTCGACGTGTTTTCTTCAAACCGATGCTCCAGGCTCATTTTTCAATATTTTTCAACAAAAATTTAGCTGAGTACTCTTAAAGTGATGCTTTTTAGTGTACAAATCGATATTACGACATTTTCATTACTAGATTTCAAAAAATAAATCTCAAAAATGAGCAAAAATAACTAAAAATTAACTATACCCCCCCCCCCCTTAAAGTTAAAAAAGGAGTCCCAATAATTGATAGAAAAATAAATTAAGTAGATTATATCATGCAAAATAGGTCCGTATTTCTTGTACACCATTTGTTCATAGATTTTTGAAACATGAGAATATGTCGATTAAATTATTGTCTATTGTTTATTGTCTCTATTTATCACGAAAAATTTAGTAAAAGATTATTTTATTTTGCTAAAGTTCATTTTCAAGGATATTGCTTCCGGTGAATGGTCAGTCGACATTGACTAGTTTCTTGTTATGTTTTTGTATTCAACTCTTGTTAAAGATTATTTATCATGAGAAAGAAAGGATAATTTTTTAAAATCAAAAAATAAAACTTGATCTTGATAAAGACTTCAAATTAGAATTACGTTATCTCATTGTAAATATTATTGTTGAATGCGACGGAATAATTCTCGAAGACTTTTTTAGGATTTATAGTAACATGTATGCTCAAATGTACTACTGATATAAAAATACTAATTTTCGTAAAAAGAACTTACTAATGCAAGGTGAATATTCAGTTAAGTATTTGTTAGAAAATTAAATTTATAATAATTTTTTGGATTATCCTATCAAATAAAATGTCTTACGTTATTTTTTACGTAATTTCTATGTCATAATTTACTAGAAATTGAATTAAATATTTTCGAAATTCCAAATTTGATATAAAGTCTAATAATTATGAAGATCTAGATTTTTCAAAAAGATACTCAATAATGCAAAAATAATTTGCATTAGCATTGATTGCATACATTGAAACTATAAATTTTTATCAATGAAAAGTAGATTAATTAATTAATGAGCTTGAGAGCACAAGAAACTATGTGAAAATTACAAGACACGTTCACGCGTTCACTTGCCATAGTTACGCGGTAACTCGTGAGAATAAGGCGGGCGAAAAATGATGCACTTCTCGACACCCACGTTTCAAATTCACAGTTTCGTAAAGGATTTCATTCATCGGTTCATTTTTTATGTGTAAATCAACTGTTGCATAAGTAAATTTCTGCATTTCTCATAGAGCGAAATAATTTTAGTAATTGGTTTAGCGTTATGCTTCTTCTTGTAATTAATAAGTTTATGGAGAAGAAAAATTTGAGTATAGAGTAAGGAAGTATATTTTTCTCCGATAATTTTAATGGCGTAATTCAAATAATTTTTTTGGCCGATCGAAAGTAATAATTTTTTCAAGCTTTAAATAAATTAGTCTAAATTATAAAAATGTAATACTTACTGCTAAGGTAGTACGATACACCAGAAATAACCCAATGATAAAGATGATGCTTGCTGAGCAAAATCTTGAAATCATCTGAAAAGTAATGTTTCCTTTGTTACGTTCTAATTGAATCATTTTTTACTCTGCAGTTTTATTTTATAATTTTTTTTGGATTTTTCAGAATAGGAATGAATTGATACACAAATTATTTTTTGATTGACTTTGGTTTCCTCATAACTTTTACCGCTCTTTAGTTTTCCTATCGTAATAATACAAAGAAATTATTACTTGCAAATTATAACTTGCAAATGCTCGTTTTTCAACCAATTGAGTTTTTAACTAATTATTAAAATTGACCATTGAACTTTATGTACATTTATAATGTTATTGGATAATATTCCTAGTCTTTATTTCGAAATTCCCAATAATAAGGTACATATGACATTCATCTTAAACTTTACTATGAAAAATTTTAAAATCATATGATATCAACTCCTTTTTACAAAAAAATTAAAGATTGAAAATATGGCACTTTAGCTGTAAAAATTTAAACTAATTGAACAATTCACCTTTATTAATTTTTAGATTTCCAAATCTTAATTCTTCAACCAGTATCCTTGCTAATTACTTTCATTTATTATCATATTATTAATCGAACACTTTTATCACTAAAAAACATGCACTCGTAAACTACAACGATGAGAATGACAAAACTCAACTATTCCGATATAAACTGTTTTAACGAAGTTGACTCGGCATGCCTTGCGGCGCAAAGTATCACCGATAATGGGAATTCGGTACACGGTAGCAGCGAGTTTTATACATTCAACGGGTAGAAGAAAAAGAGGTGAGAAAGAGGGAGGGTTACATCTTCTTCAGAGAGCTCTTCTTTCTGATATATCCCACGCACACACACAGTCGTACAAAAACAGACGCATCTCCCCGCCTGCATAGGCCATAGCATGATGCACATGGGCGAATCGAAGTCTGTGTGTGTGCGCGGCTCTGTGCTGCAGCAGGTATTGCCTCGCGATAAATAGCCTTGCAATAAAGCCTCCCACCTAAAAAAGCATGTGTATATCAGTGGCGGAGTTGCAGTAGCCGAGCTGTGATTCTTGAAAAGGTGGAAGACGAAAAGGTGGAAAGACGCAATCTAATGACGATGAACCAACACACACCCGTCGTTGTTGTTGTTCCTGAAGACAATAAAGCAGTAGAGGCAGCATACACTGGGTGGGGGATCAGCCCGCCAAAGGACCAAGAGGCTACGGATGCGTATGTGTATACGTGCGTCTGTGTATGTCGGGACTACTTCAATGCACTTATGCAATGAGATACGGCGCGATGCGCGCGAACAGTGTTAAGAGGCGGACTGGTACACACTCGAGTATATGCTTTCTTACGGCTTTGGAGCTCGGCTATGGGCCAAGGGTTCCCCATGCTTCGTACGTACGCCTATGGTACCACCGATCAGCCTCATCCAAGCGTGACGAGAAACGCTCGATCCTTATTATGCTAATGCGGCGCGATTCGATGCTGCTGCGCGAGGCTGGGCCACACGTGCCCCATGTATAATATATAAGAAGCGGCAATCTGGTGCGTTTTCGTAATTGCTCCCTTCGTTATGCGTGTGGTGAACAAGCCTGTGGCGTAATATACAATACCCAGACTATGTACAACAACATATTTTCACGATGTTCCGCGCGCAGACAATGAAGATCCAGCCATCCAGATTATTTCGCGCGCCGCGAACGAATTCTCATCTCTGCACGGGCTTTCGAGTACCGCAAAATGTCTGTCTGACTCTTTTTTTAATCAGAGTAAATAAGATTGTCTCTCTCTCTCTCATCGTCCCATTTATCCGAGAGTTGGATAATTTTCTTTCTCGCCTATTGCTAAACGCTGCTGTACTTTTAAATAAATCGTAATGAGATATCCGAGTGTGGTCATTTTTATGTAATTCAAGAGGGATGTAAATCGAGTATTATATTTGTTGATGCAATTTAAAACGAGACATGAGTGCATTTGAATGAGACGAGTCGTGGTTATATTTTGCTGTAACTTTGGAACACGGCGATCTGATTGATGCACGGCGTCATGTATCGTTTCACTTAATTATCACTCGATACCATCTTCTTGACATAATTATCAAATAATATCTGTATAATATTGACTTATATAATTCGACATTTATATCTACTTGCGAATGTCATTTGAAAAACGATGAAATAAATCTCTGGTACTAATTATATTCTTTTTACTATTTTATGGAAATATAGATAAAGTTCTGTTTTTTAATAATTGTTTAAAGAGTAATTTAAAGACCCTGTTAGCGTTGGTTTTAGTGGATTCTATACTCAGTAGTCTATGACCTAAATATACCATGGCAGCAGTGGTGGTGTGGCTGTGATTATTTTTTGTTGAAGTATAAGTAATTACGAATATCAATTAATTGTAATAATATCTATTTATTTTCACAATATCTCATAATGAATTTCGATCTCATATATATGAGGCATTTTATGCCAAGTATTCTAGTACGGCGGCTGCATTGTACTTTGAAGCGAAATTGCTTATTTTCTATCTAACCAGAAAACCCACAAATTTCCTTAGCTTTCTGATGGTGTATTCCGATTTTTCGGAAAATTGAATGCTCTCCAGAATATGTTACAAACAAACTTCAACTTTAAATATCTCAGAAAAACTTTTTTTAAGATTTTTTAAAATAGTTTATAGATTGAAAGCTGAGGAAATTTCTTATTCAAATACATCTTTTTCAGAAAGTACATTTTATTACTAGCTATTCATATTGCAAATATGAATTTTTTCCTAAAACCATGCTTTGACTAATACAATTAATTTTGCTCAGCCACTTGCAGATTTACGGATATAGAAACTCGCCATCTAGCGGTGGAAGTTTAAAATGTTATATAGTTTAAAATGGTATTATAAGCAATTGAAAATTGATCCAAGTTTTTTGAAACAGTCAAGTTGTCAGGCCATTCAAAATGCTTTTAATATTTTAGACAAAATAGTTACAGAAAAGCAAGTCACTCAATGTTAATGTATTTCCGACCACCCATTTTTGCTCATTAGGTCATTATTAATGTTGAGCTTTTTTACCAGGGTAAGAATTAGATTGAATTCGAGTGTCTGTCGTGTGAAATTGTTGAAGTATAGTATTTGTAGTAACTTTAAATAATGCATTTATTAAATTGATATGAGGAGGAATCATGATTACGTACTCTTTGTTTCAATAAAATTGTAATAATCCGTAATTTAAATGTCTTTATGCATCTAACTGGGTATCTAGTCACTAGAGTCGGCTTATATTTTCGTACAAAGATTGATCAGACTAATTTGCAGAAAAAATTTTATCGAAAAATACTCGAGGAGGATTGCACGTTAGAAAGGAGGCACAGGATGTTTCGATTTCCTTGTTCTTCCGCGCAGTTAAATTTACGTAAAGCTCGGGCCAGCTCGGCAAAAATTAGAGAGGCACACAGGCGGACGGACGGACGGACGAGCGACTCAGCAGTGGTTTCTCAGCAAGTGGGCCCAAGTATGTATACATAGCTAGATATAGAAGCAAGTAGCGAACGCGCGCCTGGCACGGAGCAACAAACGGTCGCTCGGCGGTGGCGGCTGCAGCAGCAGCGGCGGCGGTTTAAACGCGCCGCGTCGGTCGAGGCCAGGCTACTCTGCACAGCTTTATTATCAGTAGACCGCGACACGGCACGAGCTGCATCGCGCTCGCTCGCTTGCCCGGGACATATACACACATATATATGTAATATACAGCTGCAGTGCATCGCGGCTCGTGCGCCGCAGTCCTACACACGAGCGAAGCAGTTGCTTTGGTTCGGTCTCTCTCTCTACTCGCTGTGCTGCACTCTGCGATCGCGTCCCACATTGTCTCGTGCGGGGGCTACATACGTACGTATACACAGCAGGTATACATAGAACAGACGTTGCCGCGCGATTATGTGCATGTGCAAGTGCGTGTCGTGCCGTGTATTATAAATACGGACTAATCGCGTGCAGCGGCAAGCATGGGCTCTGTTGGCCGTGCCGTGCCTGCGCCGTCGTCGTCGTCGTCGTCGTTGCATGTGTCCTACTACTACCTCGGCGGCGGTCTCTTGGGCCTGCTGCTGCAGCTCGTCTAGTCAAATCGCTTCCTTCCTGGACTGCAGTCCACGCGGCGCTCTGCTCTCTCTGTGTCTGTGTTTGTGTTGCCGACACTGCGCATTTATATTTTTTGGCGTTCCGCCGTTCTGGATAGCAAAGTTAGTACTTGGCTCTCTCTCTTACCAAGCTCCTTATACCTCTTTCCGTTATACACACCTCTATTCTAGAGATTTAAACTGCTGCTGCTGCTGCTTCCAACGATCGGATGCCGGAGCCTGTGTGAAATTATATACTCGGATGTTTATTCCTACATTTCCTGCATCGAATGGCAATTTTTTGAGAGAAAATATCCTTAGCTCCGGCATTGCTTTCATCGTTTGATTATTCATTTTCCAGCTTTGATTTACGTTTACGTACTTATGTTACATTGATATACTGTACTGACACTGCTGCTGATGCTATATTTCGTTGCTGCAGCATCGCGAGGCAAACACACAGTTTTCGTGTGCCACTTTCATAGCTCCGTTTTTGTCGCAACGAGCCAATTATTTTTTCAGGTTTGACCTTTATTTTTCTTTTAACACTGTCACGTTCGGTAACGGTCTCTCGGCTGCGATTCTCACTGATGCGCGCGGACGATGTGCATACACATACACACGTATACACGTGCTGCACATGCACACTATACATTCGTGTATTTTCAATGTCACGTCGAATTTGTTCAAATTCAGCCGTTATAATCGGTTAGCGCGAACGGATTGTATTACGATCCAGCCGTGCACACATTGCACTCGGGTCTTTCTTTTGTTTCGTTATATCTCGGCTCGCGATCGGTTTACATAATACGTAAATACACCGGATATAAGTAACTTTTAAACCTCTGCTGTAGCAGCAGCAACAGCTACAGCAGCAGTGCCCAATAGTTTATTATTTATAATTTGAAAGTGCGATTGCTGATCTGGCCTAAATATTTCTCTTCTCTCTAGGATATATTCATAAATGCCCGCAAGAAAGTTGCTCGAGCGTGCGTAAGCTTATATGAATGAAAAAAGGTCAGCCAATATATTTCACCGATCTCATTTTTGCATACATTCAAAAAAACATTTCTCTATTTAAGAAAAAAGTAATAGTAATGAAGGAAATGCACGAGCAGCCTTACTTAGCTGTGGTATTCATCATTTGATTCGGAGTTGCATTGTACGCAAAAAGTCTATTATCCGTCAATCAGTAATGCAGCAAAAAAATGGTGACGCTTGCCGAGCGCGAGAGACACCTGCACCTGCTGCAGAGAGTGGCTAATCTCGATCGTTTTTTCACCCTCCCCATTTTACTGCATAATTTTACTACGGCTCTGCGGTCTGCGTCGGCTCAGGTGCACACATTTACACACGTACACATGGTAACGATATAACACAAGCTTACTTTAACTGTATATAGCACGTAACGCGAAATGTACCAACAAAAGTGCGTTAAAACTGCTTCTTTTTTCCAAACGTAACAACGTCGACCAATGGCGTTAATAAATCATTCGTAGCTTCGAGTACATGCGCTATATCTAAGAGCACCACCCGTGTAATTTATAAATATAATACCCAGCAATGATACGTAGAGCTCGATTAGCACCTGATTACACTCTCGTATGCTTTGCCGCGCGCGCCAAGATAAGAGAGCTCGCTGCGCTATAATAGCGATCGGGTAGGCTCGGAGTCGCAGTCGCTGTTCTGCTCTTCGCTGCTGTATAGTGATATAGACTCAACGACGACGAATATATATAACACACACATTGTGTGTACTACATGACTGTTTACTGATTTCGCTCGAACTTGACGCGTAGTAATTTACCTTTTTCAAGATTCCACGCACACAATGAGTACGTAAACGCTTATTTATCATTTCTTGCCGATACACTCATGCATTGACATTTCATTTTTTTTTCACATCTACTATCGTTATTTTTGACGGAATAGTAATTATTATAATTATAATTGAAATGCTATAGGCGTGCCAAATAATTTCCATCCAGTTTCTTACTTTGTTTATTTTTTAATTCTATCGATTCTTTATATAAAATTTCATTTCATCTGATAACAATTATATCTCATTCTCTCAATCAATCGTTTTCTCAGTCGAGATTTGATTATAATTTATGCAAACAATTTCGACAACAACTTGCGGTTAATCGAGAACATTCATTCAATTACAGTACTAAAATCCATTAAAGTACTTTAGGGTTTAATAGCAATAGTACCCAAGTACTCAGCTGCTTAACATATATTTCGCTCTTGCATGTCAAAAAAATATTAAATGTAAGTCTTGGCATTAAAGCCAAGTCTGTTGCTCGCGGGTCAGTGCGGATGTACTATGATCGTTACGTGCCCATGCGTAACAGGGGGACAATGCTTTCCGTTGGTAAAGGGGACTATGTATGGTTTTTTTTTTGGAACCGATCGCAATGCGCTCGTAAGCAGAAGTAATAAGCTGTGCATATGTAGCTTTTTTCGAAGTAATCATTGGTCTTATTACAGTAAAAAATAGTAAATTATATATTCTTGAGTTGGGGGAACTGGGCTGGGTTAAGGAAAAACATGTAACATTTATTTATCACTTGAAGTCTAAGGAAAGTTAGAGAATCGAAATTACAACATTTCTAGGATTTTTACTCGGGCTAAAACAGGAAATTAAATGTGTAGAAATGTATCATGATTTTGTTTCCCTGCACGTTCCTCCTTTATCAAATAAATAGAATGACTCAAGTATAAATCAAGTGTATCAACTGTAGTAGACTGCAAACTCCAGAAATGAATGATACTAATTTTAACAATTATAGCGAAATCTCAATAAAATCACCAAATTAAATTACCAAAGAACTTTTTCTTTTCAATAACATTTTATTAAAATTACGAAAATAAAATTATTTTCTTTGTCTTTAAAGTAGGTAATATTAATGCTTCATACTGTTGTTGCTACGATCGTTGTCAATGAAACTGAATCCTGGATAAAATGCTTAGTTGTGCGATAGAACGAACTAAAAGCACGACCCTGTAACGCCGGTGCTATTTACATTAATGAATCTCTCCCTACTAGTAACTCTCTTACCTGACTCATTTCCTGTAGTTTCAAGAGCCTTTTCAAGAGTCGGAGATAAAAATTTCTATTTTCAAATAATGATTCTTTTAACGTTTTAAATGCCCTATAGAAAATTCCACTTGGGTATTGAAATTTTGTGTTTTTAATATGTATTTCTTCAATCATATTCGAATGGATTGCATCATTCACATTTTACAAGAGTGCAAGTCTGGGTTTTTAAATTTTTTAATACCTCATCCATCTGTTTTGGGCTAATTGCGAGTTCGTGTATAGTGGGTTCGAACGGACCAGTCAGGTGCAAGATGTTACACGTGCCACTACACAACAGCTGTTTTCCTGTGTTCCTTCGGAGACGTTAAAAAACTTTTACACATCCTCTCTAATTTCGCGGTTCAATGATCTCGATACAATAATAGTCGTTACGACTTGAACATTGTTTTGGAAACAATCGCTCGAGTTTTATAAATCGCATGGTAACACTTGAAGTATTGAATTTTTTGTTTCTTTGCTTCTTCATATCTTTTCACACAAAAAAAATGCCATCATATTCATCATATATTTCATACATAATTCTCAAGTGAATAAGTAAATTATACGGAATAGAAAATGAGCATGACATTGATTAGTGCAGAAATTATAATGTTAAATTGAGATTCTTAAAAATTTTTTAAATTTATAAAAAAGAAATGTATGAAAACAAATCAAAACTTAAATATGTATAACTGCTCTTAGTTAATAGCAATTTTTAACCCGAAAATCAATTACACCAATGCCTTTATGAAAAAGCACGTTAAAAAAGGACTTTCTTTTTATCGTAGACTTTATGGAAAAAGTCAGCGGACTCGGGCGAGCAGCAACAGGTGCAGTGATCTCGAAAAGGAACGTCGACGATGACACCCCCGAGATCGGGGGCGTGGCCTCGACTGAAAACGAATCGGCAACGACGACGACGGCAGCGGCGGCGGCAGCCGCAGCACCGGAAACCGGAAACGTCACGACTGGTAGTAGTGGCAACGGCGGCAACAGCAGCAACGCAGAGCCTCCAGCCGGCTCGAGTACCGCGGAATCAGGCCCGAGCGCCAGTCCAAGTCAGAAGTCAGAAGAAGCAGTCGACGGCGACACGCCCGACATACCGAACGTGGTAGAGTATCATCTGAAAGTGACGCCGCGCAATAACAACAATAGCAAGAAATCTGCAGAAAAGCAAGTGCAAGTGCACGAGTCTACTGATACTTCCTCCTCGCTAGCCGGAAATAATGTGAGTTGACACCTTACAGTCATGTTTCATGCATTTTTCGCTTTTTTAATGTTAATTTGTTGCTTATCATATTGTTAAATCACTTTCAAGTTTCATATACAGCTTAAGCTTTATTATTAAATAATTGTAATTAAAAATCATCGATTACCAACAAAATAGAGGTGTAACGGTTAATACAAGCGTAAAATCATTGCTAAAATGGCACGCACTTCCACCTTTCATGTTTATAATCAGTGTTATTGTTAGATTCAAAAAATTATAATGCTTCGCAAGAGCAGGTTGCGTAGCGATTGTGAACTGCTTTAATGCATATTATGCAGGTGGTATAGAAACCTGCGCCAAGTAGAGGCAATTTGTTTGTCTGTCATAAATTATTAGTTAAAGTTATCACATCAAACAAGTGCTTTATGTAAAAAGGAAATGATGCTGAGTTGATACCGATCACACTCGTGTGTTCTATAGACGTATATATCTATATCTGTAAAGAGAGAGAGCTCACTTTTGCGTAATTAATTTTTGTAACATTATTATTGATCTAATGACTGAAAAATTACCCTGTTTTGTTTTAAAAGAAATTTCTTTTTGTTCACTTGTTTAGCGATTTTCTGTTACGATTACATTAAAAATATTAAAAGAATTTTGTATGATCTGAGAATTTAACCTTTTGAAAAGACTAAGACCAGTTTTCAACCTTTTTAAATACGATAATATATTGGGGCCAGATAAGGTTATACCTAAAGGTCTCTAATAAAGATCAATCAATCAATATTACTTTAAAGCTCCACCGTTAGATGTCGAGTACCTACATATCTGTAAATCTGCAAGTGACAAAGTCAAAATAATTGTATAAGTAAAAGCATTTGAAATTATTATTCCTGTGTAATTATTTATAATAAAATTGATTCTAATTACGGAAACCGTGTTAAATTATATTTTCAGTTCTAAAGGTCTTTTCAGTCCAAGAAAAATTTTCGTTGAACTAAAACTAGCTATGAAACGTTAACCATTACCACCGGAGTATTTTTTTTTAAATGATCAAACGTTGATTGTATGCGTGAAATGGGCAGATGGCATTTAAAACCCCATACACTTTTTATAGCTAAACACTGCGTTTCCGTACTAAGTACTATAGGAAGCGTTTGCATGATGATCGAAAATAGACATTGATGACGAATTTATAATTTTCAGATGACTCTAGGAAACGGTAACGGCACGATGAAAGACAAACCAACGATCACAGAGGAGCAGCGCAAAGAATTAACGTTGCGCCTGTCGAAGCTCTCGATCGATAGTAATGTTTTCGAGGGCTCCAGCGATTTGCCTCAAGTTTTCCAGGTCAAATATTTAGGGTCACACGACGCCCGAGGACTCTGGGGCATCAGACACACGAGAAAACCAACAGACAATATGGTAGCAGCGGCCAAAGCTCTTCCGAGCGGCACCATTCTTCCGTTCCAAAAGCTCGTCGTCAGCGAAGATGGTATTGGCCTGCTGCCATTTGGTCAGCGTGGAAAATCAGAGAGCAAGATCTATCCGATCGAAACTATATCGTATGGAGTTCAAGACCTCGTTTACACACGTGTTTTTTCGATGATACTCGTGCGAGAAACCGACAACTTCCGAAGGCTGACTCCGTTCGAATGTCACGCGTTTGTCTGCGAATCCAAGCACCATGCACGCCAGATCACCTATGCTCTTGGAGCAGCCTTTAAAATTTATTCGCAATACGTTAAGGAACGGTCGGACGAATCGGAAACTAAAAATCGGAGTAGAGAATTCGCATTAGAACTCAGAAATCCTAATGAAGTTCAAATTGATGATACTTTGAAGGTTGATCGATAATATTAAAAATATTATCAATCATAGTTTATTGATGATACATACGATTCATATAATTTAGTGATTATATGTTCAAAAAGTGAATATTTATTTTGGTGTTTATAGTTTGTTGTTTTTTTAACTAAATTAACAAAGTAGAAATTATGTCAAAGTGTATAATACATGTATTATAATTTAAATACTTTAAAAATAGCTTGTATATTTATCAAGGATAAGGATTCTTTTCAACATTTTCTTTACGCCGAAAAAAATTTGTCTACTGCATCAAGAACGTCACATTTTATTCTGACTTTCATGTTGCATAATTCACATTCACATTCTGCATGTTTTAAGGCATTTTTTTCATGAGACGTAAGTTGTTGATTATCATGTTTCATACAAGGCAGTTCTCTGTATTAAACGAATTTTTTTCAAAGGTTCAATGAAATTTTCCAAGCCTTGAGTATAGTTAGAATGAGAACAAGCGAAATATATAAAATTACTTATAAAAATAATTTTAAAAATTAACTTCTCCTCTATCAAAAAATGTGCAATACGGATGAATTCTCGTTTTTTTTATTATAAATCTAATTTTATAAACGTATCCTTTTTGTTAATTACGATGTAACAATTTGTATTACACGGCAAAATGTTCAATTGTAAAAAATGAGTTTAAAAGAGTATAACAGTATAACGCATAATTTCAATTCGTCGAATGATTTGTCTTGACAAACTTAAAACTCAAAACAGCCTGTTGAATGCATATGCAGCTGTTGAAGATGGCTAGCTATCCAAAGAGTCTCTTTTTAAAGTATCAAGTAAATTTTGACTTGCTATAATTCTTATGCACAAATTTTGGGTGTTGATTGTCTTTATTATTGCACAAATTCATACATCGATTCATACAAATTTTTGTGACCGTATGTTTACTGTATTTAAGTAGTTTCAATAATATTAAGGATTAAGCCAGTACTTTTTTAATTTTAGAAAGAAAGAGTTTCTATTATATGTAAAATATTGTAAATAATTGTAAACTAAATAATGTAAAAAGTATTTTTACTAAAAACGTTATTATTCAATATATTTTAACTCGGATAATCTGTAACATGAATTAAAAGAAAACAGTCATATTCTCAAAACTACTTAGATAAGATTATATTAAAAGTATGAAATTGCATTTTACGAATTTACAAAAATAACGTAGAGAATTAGAATTTTTGGATTGATTATGATTATATTCATTTGTGTGTGTGTGTGCGTGTGTGTAATTTTAAGAATCGAATTTGAATGATATATTATGATATGATATATTACATGTAAAAAAGTATGCAAATCTAAATAAATATAGTAATTCAAAAATTAATAAATCTCGTTGTCTTTTTTAATAAAGAATATTATTTAGGAGGCTTATGTTTGTTCATTTATGTTCAACTTACAAATTAATAATAAAAAAATTTCAGACAAGATTTTAAAATAATGAAGTTCCTAGTTTTTTTAATTGATACTTGAAAATAATTAAATTTACAATAATATAATAGCAGGAGTTTATTTAATTATAATTTCTTTAGATGCCCTTTAAGGTTTAGTCCAAAATTAAATTGATTTATGTTCAATATAATGTCAACTGTACAACCTAAAAATGTTGTCTGAAGTAATTAGACGCTTTGATAGGATGAGGAATTCAACAAGGAACTCAAATTTACAAAAGGGTAGAAAGTTCTTAAATGCAGAAATTAGGAGACCCAAAAAAAAAAATTTGGAGCAAATGCATGGCTCAGAGTTCAGTTTGTCTTTTTGTTACTTTTAGAAGGTCAAAAAAATCCCCCGAAGAAATCGCTGCCACTTTGGAATTTTAAATTGTTTCAAATATTGTAAGGATAATGTATGAACGGATAAATTCGTAACTCAATTGTAAACAATATAATCATAAACGATTTTGACATTGTCCTTCGACACACTGATCATGTTAATAGTGAAAATGAATTAGTTTAGATGTTGTCTTCTTCGATGAAACAAGCCATAGTACTTAAAGATAAATTTTACTCATTTAATTTCTGGTACATTAAATCGACAGATTTATCGTTCAATTTAGGCCCCAAAATGAATGAAAGTGAGAAAAAATCCGAGCAAATCATTTCAAAATATAATTTAAGTGAACACGACATTGTTGTTTCTGACGACAAGAAATACGTTTGTGACATTTGTCAAGGGGCATGTACACTAGAATCAAGCATGATAACACATCGAGACACAATTCACAATAAACGAAAAGATTACGCATGTGACAAGTGTGAAAAGAAATTTGAGTTTCGAAGTCATTTGAGTAGACACCAAATATCAGAACACAAAAGCCGCAAAGATTTTGCATGCGACCAGTGCGAAAAGAAATTTGAGTTTCGAAGTCATTTGAGTAGACACCAAATATCAGAACACAAAAGCCGCAAAGATTTTGCATGCGACAGCTGTGAGAAAAAATTTGTGAAAAAATTGAGTTTACTTACGCACCAGAAATTGGTACACAAAGATCGTAAAGATTTTACGTGCCACAAGTGTGAGAGGAAATTTGAAAATAAATCAACTTTACTGAAGCACAAAACAATTTTCCACGAAGTTTTCAAAAATTACTTATGTGAATTGTGCGCGAAGAGATTTGGAAATAAACAGAATTTGCTCATGCACATAAAGGCCGTCCATGAGCATCGTAAACATTTTAACTGTGATGAGAGCGAAGAGAAATTTGGAATAAAATTAGAATTGATCAAAAACAAAAATACAGTCCATGATGGTTTTAAAAATTACACATGTGAAAAATGCGAGAGAAAATTTGGAAGTACATCAGATTTTTTAAAGCACCAAAGGGCAGTACACGAAGGTCAAAAAGATTTTGCATGTAACAGGTGCGTGAAAAAATTTGCACGAAAATCAGATTTGTTGAGGCACCAAAAGACAGTGCACGAGGGTCGTAAAGACTACGCATGCGACAAGTGCGAAAGGAAATTTGGATTAAAATCACATTTGCTTACCCACCAAAAGACAATACATGAAAAGCGTAAAGATTTCGCATGTGACAAGTGCGAGAAAATATTTGGACGTAACTTTTATTTGCTCCACCATCAAAAAATAGTACACGATGGTCGGAAAAATTACGAATGCGACAATTGCGAGAAGAAATTTGGGGATCAAAGCCATTTGAGAAGACACCAAAAAATAGCTCATCAAGGTCGCAAAGATTACTCATGTAACAGTTGTGAAAAGAAATTTGGACATAAATACCACTTGATCAGTCACCAAAAGCTAATACACGAAGGTTTGAGAGATTACTCATGCAACAAGTGCGAGAAAAAATTTGGACGAGAATCGCATTTGCTAATTCACCAAATGATGGTTCACGAAGGTCGCAAAGATTATGAATGCCTAAATTGCGAGAAAAAATTTGGAAAGAAATCAGATTTGTTGAGGCACCAAAAGATTGTACACGAAAATCGCAAAGATTATGCTTGCGACAAGTGTGAGAAGAAATTTGGACATAAACATAATTTGCTTTTCCATCGAAAGACAGTACACGGAGGTCGCAAAGATTAAACATTTGAATATTACGAGGAAATATCTGGCCAAAAAGGCATTCTTTTAATCACCAAATGACTGACCATGCAGATCGTTATGATTTTGCACCCGAGAAAAAATTTAGGGATCAAAAGAATTCCATTAAACATCAAAAAGCAGTACATGAAGATTTCAGCTATTACATTTGCGATGAGTGTGAGAAGAAATAATTTACTCTACCGAATTGAAGTTGACAACAAAAACAGTTTATGAAATTCACAGAAACTACCTATTGGGCCATTCTCGAAGTTTTTTAAGATATCGTACGTGATAATTAAAGTAAAATTTTTGCATGCAAATGCAATATAACTCCTCATATTTAATTTGCTTACAAGGGCACATTTTTTAAATGTGAATGTGTGAAAAGATTCAAGTACAAAATAAGAATAAATTTGACCGATCATAAATGAGTTATTAACAAAAAATGTGAAGACTCAGTTTTTGTGCTTATTTGTGGGCAAACGAAAGAACCAAGTATCTCAAGTGCTCAAAATGTTTATAATTTTTAAACAAAATTAACATTAGGAGGTGAAGTTAAGGTGGTAGAAATTTTATCAGCACAAAAATAGACATGACGCGTGAGTACAATAGCTAAGAGTTTTACTCGAAATATTAAAATCTCATATTTGAGAAAAAATTGAAGTTATTACAAGTATTTGTATATAAGAAAAATATCGCTGAATAAAAAATCCAAATTAAGTTAATAGAAATTAAATTCACTCCAACATGAAAAAGCGTTATCATGGGTACAAAATAGATTTATTTTATTGTTTTTTTCTCGGTCAATGTAAAACAAGTTTTCTCAAGAATTGCTAAGTCAATTTTATCCGTATCGATCTTATGAATTTTCATTCTTTGTAATGATGAAGCCCAAAAAAGTTGTGCGCTATTCGGTTAAATATTTCAAAAGCTTAGAATTTTTTTATTTTGTATTAGAATCTTGTTCATAAATCTGGTTTTATATGAAGTTTTTTGTTCTTTCCATTCAAAGCATCTTAAAAGCAAAAAAGGGGCTACCATCCTAAAAATCGATTTTAAACTTAATTGCGAATATTCATCATATGGATTCTTGAAAGCTCAACATTTTAGAATCATCTTTTTCTATGTATACTTTGAGGTTTAAGTTTAGAAATCAAAGTATTGGTACGAGCATAATTGAGGTATTTATTTGTACATAATAATACAGAAAATATTTTTTGGTGCAAAATAATTTTTTTATTATCATGGCATTTGTCGTAAAAATTTTTAAAAAAATTTTGAAAAAATTTTATTAATCTAAATACATTCAAACTTAAATACGTATTGAAGAAAATTGAATAAATCATCGGCTTTTCAAATGAAAATTATTTCAATTTTTGGAAATGTATACCTTACATACAGTAAGTTAACTATCCGTACATAACAAAGGCTTAAAAATATTTCTTGAGATAAACAATGAATCAGTCAATAATCAAAATTCACATTAACGAATTTTTCTTAATTTTTTTAAACTAAAAACCATACTTAAGAATTTTCCATCTGTACACCTTAAATGCTAGACTTAATCTATACATAAGTTGCTATGAAAATGTTGTTTAACAAAGTTCACCGCGAATAAAAGAAACAGTATTACATAAACAAATAAATATATATTTTTTCATTATACGATAACTAAATTCACGACTAAGTGAGTATAACGAATATATGTATATTAATGCGACTCAATTGCACACGGTTCTTATTTGGCGCAAAACAAATAATGATCAAAATCTACATGAAATGAATATCATTTTCTTTGTGAACGTGAATGAAATGAGGAATGATGATTGACTTGATTTTTACAATTGCGCTGACTCTTACAATCTCAAGTACTGTATCTCTTGTTTATGTGAAATTTTACTAAAAAAGACGAATGAAACAAAAACAAGTTACACGGGTACTGATGCATTTTCACCCCAATCAATGGTCGGGCGCGTATGCATTGTAAGCAATATCTTGCGGGGACTCGTCCGATGATCTGCCCCAAACTCCGTGATCGTCGTCGTGATCGTAGTGGTGTTGATGCTGAGCGTGCTCGTAGTAAATAACCTTCGAGGGCCTGTGGCTTTTTTTCAGATCGAGCCAGAAACGCGCCATATTAATCAATAAGCTTATGATGGCGATCATGTAAAACTTGAACTGGAAGTGTGTGGATATCAATTGCAGAAGTAGACTCAGCTTGGCCTTTACCATCATTCCGACCATCATGGCTTTGTGCAGATGCTTTTTCTTGCCTTTTCCTTTCTTTTTGCGAGATTCTGCAACATTTCATTGATTCGAGTGTGAACGTTATTCAAGTGTAAAAAATTATACTGATAAAAAATTTAGTGCAAGAGGTATATCAATAAAATATAAATTTAACTGCACCAATGCTTTTTATCCACGAAGAGATGGGTAAACAAATATATTTATCAAAACTTCTAACATCTTCTAAGCTGCTCTCAATTTAGTATATAGCATAGAATATAAAATGATTAGTAATTTGAATATACCAATTTTACGACATTAATTAAACTAAATTATGTATAAAGACATATTACTATATACGAATGACTGCAATGGATATTTCTAATAGACCTATAAAATTAAAAAAAAAATTTTACTGTCATTTTTCAAGTTTGTCCACACTATGCGATTTCATTGATGCGAAAATTTACCGGAACAGCGTACTTATAATTTGCGTACCGTTGATTCTTCTTACAGTATCAGGAGCAAGTAAGTTGAAGCAACTATAGTTTAGCTACACATATTGACTTTTCAGCCATAAAAGCATTTTATCAGCCGGGAAATCTACTTACATGGCGAAGGTTTAATGTTATAAATTCAAAGATCTAAAACAAACACCTGTTATACTGTCATTAAAACTGGAAGAGCATGAGCGTATGTGAGTTGCACTTATGATATATAGCATGAGCCCCGCGAAAGGAGAAATAGTAAACGAGCAAACGCGCTGAGTTTCTTCATCGTCCAGCAGATGTTCTTTTCTCACCACTTTTAATAATCTTTCACTTTGCAAAATTCACAATGTAATAAGTCGTATTGACCTTGAAATCTATTTTTCTACTTTGAAAAAAGGATGTTATATATTTTCACTCTTTAAATATCACATTATTACGAGAATGTCGGAGTGTTCTATAAAATGTTTCCATTAACCGACCGTATAATCTTGCAATCGATTGCAAATTCGTCCGTTAGAGGAGCATTTATTTTTAGTACGGGAAAAATCGTCCATCTATTCATTATTTAATCGTTCTATTGTCGTAAACGTATTATGAAAATGTAGCATGCGAAGTCCATCTATTACGGATATTACATACATTTAAGTAATTTCAAGAATGTCGAAGATATAGTGTGAAAAAGCTACTTTTAAACTAAATATTTTATATTAGTAATTACACATATTGTTCAAAAAACAATTTCATTTTAATACGGTCGGAAAATCCTAACCGCAATTTATTTAAGTTCCAATTGTATGATAAAGATAAATCAGGGATGACCCATATTAATTCCCGATACCGATCGCTATCTAAACGATGTTAGTAGACACTGGAAAGTCAAATCCACGAAAATTTTACCCTTGCCCGATGTTTTTCTTTTTGTTCGTGAGAATCGAATGATGGTTTCGTGGTAAGTTTATGCACCACTTGCTGGCGGTCTCAAACTTTCACGGGAGGTCTCTGTGTCATTAAGATGATAATAAGCACCAGGTTAGAAGAGAAAAGTGAATATTAAAGACCATTCAAAGATAATAATTTTTGTAGAATATATGAAAAATCGGTATATTTCTGCGTAAATGTCTTTTTACCACAATCGGACACAAGCGCAGTCATGTAATATTGACGCTGGGTACCTTCGCGTATATGCAACTCAAGATAGAGAGATGAACATTTTTCAGTCTTAAAGAAAATTATGCATTGATTACTTACTTTTATAAGTAATTTTCGCAATGATACTTTTCATTGCGTTAAAAACACGTTGTAAATTATGTATTTTCCAATTATGATGCATGATTTCTATAGTTCTGAATCTGAACTTTCCACCTATATAAATTTAGATTTATTAGTCTTGAATAGATAAAAAGTAACGAATGGCCAGCAACATTTTCTGCTTTAAGAAATAAACTACCACAACTCAAATTAAATATTTATTTTGTGTAAATCGTTGCGATTTCCCAAAACTTCTACCATTCAGTTGACTTTGTACAGAAGGTATTCATATTCGAAACAAAATTTACAAACAAAACAGCTAATTTTCATCTTTCCACCTTGAATGTCACATGGGAAGATTCCAGCACCAAGACTAATGATACTTAGCTTCGAAGTGAAAACAATTTCGAGTCTGTAATTTGGTGCATTGTCATTGTTAACAAAAGTGTGTTTTGCGATTAGTAAAGTATTCGTTTCGGACGAGCCGAGCGGAAATTGATCCTGCGAGTTACATAAGTGTATCGGTGTAATGAGAATCGCCCATATAAGCGCGCAATATAAACATATGAGCTGGACGCACATACAAATCGCACTCATCAATTTGAGAACGACGCGCTGCTACGGGGTTTTGACCGTTAGTCGGCGATTTATCGTGACGTCGCCTGCTTAAACGTAATACGCGCATATATGACCGTTGACATAAAAACACAATTTGTATCGCATCGCATCGCCACGCAGCAGGTAGACGGATGACGCTAGTTTTGCAATCGGACGAAATCCGAGCGCGCCCGTACCTACGCGGCGCGCGCACGAGTTCTTCTTTTTTTTCCGTTACTAATTCACCTTAGCAAACCATGTCACGAGCAAATATCGACCCTCGCTTCGTTGCACTCGAAGTAGCCAACTGACTGAATTTCTGGTGATTATTTTAAATACCTATTATTTATTGACATTTTTTTCCAAATGTCCCGTATTTCCTTATACACTGATGCTGCGGGAAATTCATAACGTTATTTTTGCGTCGTTAAAAATGCAAAGTCTTTCCTAAAATACACTTTTACAAAACTTTTATTTCCTGTTTATCGCGCGATCTCTCATCTACTTAATTAAATATTTCACTGTAGAATTAATTTGTATGTACTAACCGATGTACTTTATCGTGGAAATAACGAAATACAAAAAATACCGTTAAGTGTTACCAAAATTAATTTCATCTGATTTTATTTAATTTATTTATATGCACGGACAATTTAAGTTTTTAATATAATAATATTTCTGTTTGTCAAATTAAAATGGGTGACAAATCTTTTGAATTAATTGATAAAAAAATGTATTTTGTAGCGTCTAGACTCGCATTAGTTACTCTATAGTTTTAGTGTCGAATGAAATAAACTAAAATTTGATATCGCCTAAATCATTTGTAAATGTAAAATATTGACTCGTAAGTATAAAAGTTATTAACGCAAATTATATATTAAATTCTCACACTATTGCGGGTATAATGTATAACAACGGTTGAGGAAGTTTTTGCGACACCGACGTTTGCTTATGTTCCAAGAGTGTACCTGTTAAAATTATTACTGTGGTTTGGCGTATAAACTAAGCGCAAAAAGCATGTGAAAAGCTCGACCGCAAATAATATCAAGTTTTAGTACATAGAAATGGTTGCAGAGCAAAATTGAAGAATAAATGTTTTTTAGCTAATATAAATTACGTCCACGCAGATCACGAGCAGGAAGGAAAATAAATTTTCAGCATGACAAGTTCGAATGAACGCGGGAAAACAAAACTTACCAACTTGGTCCGCCGAATCGAGAGCCCTCGCGCCTTCACCAGCTTCGGTCTCATCTTGGCTTTTGGCTGGATCGTCCTTCTGTAAAACGGACTGCAAGCCCTCGGCGAGCAGACTGCCCGTCTCCTCGATGACTCGGCTGATGGGCGGGTCGCTGGGCTTGTTGCCGGTGACTTGAGCCTCGATCCTGTCGAGCTCGCGGCCAATTCTCTTGGTCGTGCAGGCGACACTGTCAGCCTCGTAGAGGCAATCGAAAAATCTGCCCAGATCGCCTCCCGCGTCGCTGCTCTTACTCGTCGTCGTCGTCGTCGTCGTCGTCGCGGAGCCGGTGGTGCTTTGTTGAACGGCCGCCTGCTGCGACAGGGTGGCGAGGCAGCAGCAGAGCGCCGCACTTGTCAGGAAGTACTTCATGATACCGATGATGATTCGCTGTAAGCGAGCAGCAGATTTGGCAAGAGGAGTCGAGTTTCGCGAGACAAGCAGCTACCGAACTGAACCCAAAGCGAACTGCGAGTCCGGTGCCGACCCGAGCTTCCGTGAGGAGTAAGGCAAGGAGTAAGCGCTTCGTTCACGCGCGTGATTCGCGACGCACACGAGTCGACGGGGACGAAGCGTACACGAGCGCGCGTAAGAAAGAAAAAGACGCGCGCCGCGGCCTATACGGTGGCCCCGTTTTTTTAATAACCCTCACTCTCTGTTCGGGCGCTCTCCTTTTCTCTCCTTTTTTTCTCTCTCTCTCTCTCTCTCTTTTCTGATTCCGAGGATTCGAGCCTTGTCCACGCTTACACACACACATACTTGCAGGTGGTTGTTGATGCCCGAGGTATACATAAAAATATGCTCGCTCGTCCACGACTTTCGCGCGCGCGGCCAATCCTCGCCTCGACTCTTTTTTTTTCCCACTCGCCGCGACGGGCGAGCGGGACAACGACGACGACGACGACGCGCACCGCGTGCATATGCGTGCTTTGATAAGTGTAATCTCGCGCGGCGGACTTGCAGCTGCGCGCGGAGTCAGCGGGGGGATGTGCGCGCCTCTCCGTGTGTTAATTCATGCGCGTGTCGTATTCGCATTGTGTGCGGAAGGCCTATATGCTTGCCCATCTCGCGCGCGATATAGCGACTACTTGGCCTCGTGGTATCATTTGCCGCTAGCTCTCGGTGCGTAAGTACGTCAAGTGGACCCACTTTTCCTCCTCATCAGCTTCTCATCTTGGATCCATTAACTTACCTTTGTTCTAATCGCTGAATCGCTTTTCTTTCTTTTTTTTGTTGTTTCTCAAATTTTTTTCTTCCATCATTTTGGAGTTTTCATGGCACTTCGTTCTCTACATGGCAATCGATAGTACGTCGATTTGTTTCCGCTTTGGGGCTTCCGCTTCATCGAGCTGCTGCTGTCGTCGAAAGCGGACTACTGCGTATGAAAGTTGTGCCAGATCAATAGTGATTCGCCGCTAAATTTCGCTGATTATCAATGATATGCCAAGCTGCGTCTGTTGTACCGTTTCGGCTGCGCTTCAATTCTGAAGCCTGGTTCTCGGTGATATTGCTCCCTTTACACAAAAAAGACGACTTTCTCACTCATGTTCTGATTGTTTCGAATTTTCAATGGATTCATTACGTGAGTTCGCTGCTGCTTCTCTTATATTGATACTGTATATGCGATAGTTGAAATTAAATAGTCTCGATCAGATTAATCATGTTTTATCGTGCCACTGTAACGCAACTGGAAAACTCATTTATTATAATATTATATGTTTCTTAGGATTACTTATTGTGTCACTATAAGATGTGTACTATTTTCAAATGCACCATTTTTTTCAATAAAACATGAAGCTTGTGGTAAAAAATAGTTCTATATGTTTTAGGTGTAACAATGAATTTATTGTATATTATCAATTAAAATCAAATTAAAACATTTTGGTTTATCCTATAAAATTATTGTTCAAATGAAATTTTCTTAAAATTTTTTATGAATAAATATCAAAGTTGAAACATAGTTTTTCTTAAAAAGTTCTTTAAAGAATTATGCTAATTATTAAATTAAAAAATAATTATAGTAATAAACATGGAGGTCTCTTATAATTAATGCGAAACGACAACTTACAGTTAGAATTACTTTCAATGTATGAATGATCTAAAGTTTAATTCTTTAAATTTATAAAAATAAATGATATTCATCAATCGGTGTGTATATTTACAACAATTTCGGAATGTCTAGAAGTTTTCTTGACTTATAATTAGGCCAATAAAAAATACACTTTATTTTCCTAACCAATTAAAATAATATCCTTTATACGGAACTTTTTCTGTCGTGGTCAAATTTTTTTGGGAATTTTCATTCTTATCGATACGAAGATTTTTGGTAATCGGTATATTCTCGCGATCGTCTTTTTGCCTCGGAACTAGAGTTATATTAGGTTGGTATCCAAATTCGTTCGATGTATATTTTACGTGCGTGTCAATCCCATCTTTGAACTTGGCATTGAACTCACCATCTTTTCTACCATCTCGAAAACCATCTTCCCAGTGACTATGTGAAGAACTGGTAAAATTGAATTTATAGAACAGATCATTGGCCATTTTTTCAAGAAGGGCTAGATTAACTTCATCATTTCCAACATTATCCTCTCCTAAGGTTTTTTTGGCCGCCTCGATCATGTCCCGGATAACCTCGTATGTAGCATTTTTATTGGGTGCATTTAATTCTTTCCCTAGTCGATTATAATATCCAGGTAATTTCTGAGAATCTTTCAAAGTATATAAGCTTTCAGCGTTCCCTGCAATATTTTAATTTACTCTCTAATCATAAGTATTAACAAGGCAACTTTCACGTTAATTGATTGTAATGCAAGATTAAAAAAAGATGCTATTTTTTTAAACGAAAAAAGTCTTTTGTATCAAAACAGTAGCAGTATCTAATATAATTTCAATAATAATAATGTTCAAAAACTGTGCTTTACTTATTCAATTACGTTTACTTTTTCACTAGCAGATTTAGAGATGAATCTACTGGCCATCTATTGAGGAAAACTGAATTTAATTTGGATTGAATTTTCATAAAATTTTTTAAGCAATCGAATCAAAAAATTAATCGTTATTAAAACATTTATTTCCGATCAAATTATTTGAATTTGTGTATAGAATTTCATATTTTTTGTTTATTACTGCATTGAAAATAATGTGTATGATTACCATTACGTGCATTTTTTGTTTGTTTTATGTAAAAAATGAATTGGTACTGATTGATGAATTTTCAACCAAGACTTAATGTAAAATTATATTGAATTATAAAATTCAGTATCGGCTACTTTTATTTTGATGTCTGATATAATATTGAATCTTCATTTAATCGAAGATTTATTAAAGATAAAATAATAAAAATGAAATAAATGATCATTACCTTTCAGCGTGTCTTCTAATTTTTTATTCAAAATCTTCATCATTTCTTTGGTCACTTGTTCAAATCGCTTTTCAAAACGAACATCATTTCTCCTCGGAGGTTGAGGGGTCGTTTCAACTTTAATAAATGAAGCTGACTCTTGCCTATCTAATTCACCAGTTTCGCAATCGGCACAGGGTCTCTTCATCGATTCTTCGAGTATCTTCGCTTGCTCGGGTTTGTCCTTGTATATATCTACTGCATCTTTCACTGATTATAATTAAATTAATGTCATTGCGTCAGGAGCAATTTTAATTAAGATTTCAATTGATAACTGAATTAAAATCTCAGTGAATGTACTTACAGCTCAAAACTTTTCTATGCTTCATTTTCGTTACGATAAAGTCTCCTTCTTTGTTCGTCGTGTAAGCAGTTTCGTGATAAATGCCGTCAGCTGTTATAAACCCATATTCACCAGAAATTAACCCATCGTCATCTGTTCAAAAAAAGTTAATTCAAGAATGTTAGAATGTTAGAAATGATAAATTACAATTATTTTAAGCGAGTGAGTTTATTGGAATGATGTTTTTGTTAAAAAAACGTTAAAAATTTAATCAATTTTTTTGATAAATGAGGAGATGAGTAGGCCGATTAATTGGGAAGGTGTTGGAGGAACAAAAAATGACTCAATACCTCTTTTTTCCGATCGATGTTGAAAATCGGCGATATTAAAAGTGAATTCGTACGGTCGAATTTCATTTTCAGTCAAGTTTTGCGTATTCTGCTGACCATTGCAAACGTTCACAAGAACAAAAAACAATAACACTGATTTGAAGCGATACATTTGAAACAAGAAAAATAAACAAATGTAAGTTTAATTGATAAAGCGATGGCCAAATCAAGCGTAATTTCTCAGACACAACCGACTGGCCTCACAGTGCAATGCAAAGTGATCTCGGTGGAAAATCCGTCGCGACGTGGGGAGCATGACACGAACCGAAAGGTATTTTCTGTACCCAAGTTCTCCACGGCGATGGAACTTACGAAAGGCAGTCGTCTTATTCAATAATGCTTGATAGTAAGAGAAACTTCCCTCTGCTGGTCATTGCTTTCACACACACATACTTACACACAAACACAATCTATTGTTTATGAGACACCAATAGATTTCTCAACCGCACCTTTAACTTTGCTTATATTGCCATTATTTGATGAAAATGTTCAGATTCTTCTTGCTGGGATTGAGTAATATTTTTAATAACGTCAATCGATCAGTATTACATACCATTATTTCAATTGGCAATAAATGTTTATTTATTAGATTCGTGTTAATAGCAAATTACGTTCAATATACAAATGAATCTTAATTTCTATCTTTCAGCAAATAAAATAAAAGTGTATGTACAAGATTCTGAAAATTCGAAGAGATATAAAAAAATTAAACCAAGTTAGACCATGCTTGTATGTGAATGATACACCAGATCAAGAGCTAACTGAATAATATAGTGCATAAATTAAAACCATTACAAAGATTACTTTTTTATAATGATATGAAAATATTTTTACTTCAATTCAGTTTCGACAATCACCTTTTTTTCAATTTTTGTCAATGAAAAAATTGTCATAAGTTTTAAATGTGAAAAATTGAAAAAATGTTATATAAGATAATTTGTAGTACTTTCGTACGAATATTGTCATTAATATTCTATATGCCACACTCCAAAGATTAAAATTTTGGTCGAGCAGAGATGACTGTCTTTTATCGTGTGCAGGCACACACAAATGCAATGATATAACTTATTTCGTCTATCGTACTTAAAATATCGTTAAAGTCTCTGTGAACTTTTATGCTCGAGACGTATATGACCGCAAAAGAGCTTTCTTTTTCTTCAATCCCGTGTCTGTATGAGAGCGTCGTCGTCGTCGTCGTCGTCGTCGTCGCTGTAAAGCTTAGGCATGGGAACGAGTTCTTTAAAGAAGAAAAAAAACAAAAAAAAACAACCACATTCTAGCATTATGCGCGATGTTCGCAGCGAAATAGATCCGACCTTTTTCATTCGATATTTGCACTTCATATATTTATACACGTATCCAAAGGCCTCTGCGCGACACTATCGCCGCTCTTATATCTTTGCGCACACATACACACCTTACAAATAATACACTCCCATCCACGTGAGTTAGCATGCATCACGTCAAAAGCCTGCTGATAGGATACCAGGGAGGGAAAAAAATAAGTATCAACGTAGAAAACGTGTATGAGCTGCAACAACATCAGCTAACGAGAATGAGTAAAAAGTGAGGGCAAAGTGCATTATGCGCGCAAGGCTCGTCGACGCTCGCGCGCAGACGTGTATATCTATAAATATTGAGTCACGTATATATCTACTTATAGAAAGGCATTTTACAAGCGCAAGAGAGACAGACGGTCTATTCCGAGAAGGAGAGGGACAAGGAGAGACGATTTGCACCTCACTCGCAAATCCGTGTTCATTTACACTGCGCACAGCGCACGAGAAGAAGGGCCATGAATCAAATAGATATTTTACAGTATGGAATATAAATGAGTTCAAGCTGTACGTATCAATACACATAACACTTTCAATGCGGTAGTTTTCAGTAGCAATTGAATTCTATGTAAGATTGGCCAAAGATATGCGCGAAAAAGCATGACTCGTCCTCTTCTTTCCTACAGGCTAACTTTACACACGTGGTGCAAATACTTATAGATTTTCTGGGTCAGAGAAGTTTTTTTTCGTCGAGCAGTTGCTTTTACTGTTTGATTATTAGTTAATCTGGCCAGAACATCGATTATATACCAGCCCTGATACGTCAATTGAATTGTTTCAAAAATGTTTTCAAAAAAGACCAGTTTCAACCACTTTACACACGATAATACCACTTCCAGTCTATGCCACAAGATGGCGAGTACCTTTATCTGTATAAATCTACAAGTGGCAAAGTTAAAATAATTGTATAAGTAAGAACATAGTTTTGGAAAAATTATCTTTCCTTTCCATTATTGCAATGCCTAAATTCAAATTAACAAATTTAATTTGAATAACATTATACATTCCAAATGTAGATAAATTAAAAATAGCTATTGAAAGTGTATTTAAATGGTAAAAGTAAATGAATAAACCTTGTTCTTTTAATTTTTATATTTCCAGTTTTAATGATCCTTTAAAATTAAAAAAAATTTTCGTTTGTCAAAAAATGTTGCGAATATTAACCGAAGAGCTTTTATTAAAATTAAAAAAATAATTTGGCAGCTCTTCGTGCTCACAACTTGGCATCACACTTTATTCATGAATTTTTACAACTGTAGTTCCTCAATAAGCTAAGAAAAATTGAAAATAATTAAATACATGTGATGTTTTTTATTCTTATTGTTATTAAATAGTTTTGATGTATGGATGAGTCGCAAATAGGAAAAATATTTTTGAAAGTGAAATTGGTATTGTCTAAAAATTATAGGAACTGAATGATCCTACTTGTATCACTCAATACAAATATTTTTCTCGGCGATCGCTTACTGCGAAACGCTAACGGTATCGATGTTACGCAGCTGTGGCGATTCCTCCCAAATTGAAATCAAGTAACAGTATAATCATTATGATAAAGCCCGTTCATTTTTTTGGCATGAAATTTTGAGATATTAGTTGAAAAAAAATCTGCCGAGGTTTTTATCGAATCTGGATTATAATTTCAAGGAGAGCATTAACTTCGAGACAATCACAGCTACTGCAGTTGATATATATGCAGAATAATAAATTCATTAGTGGGAGTGTTTTTAAAAGTAAAGCGATTATCGCAAATGTATCAATAAAATACAGGCGAATGCCTCATTGTTCTCGTGCACACATGTGCCGCAAACTCCCAAGTCGTGAATCTATAATACAAATTAATAGCATGAGGTTGAATTGGCAACAGCAGTGCAGTGTACTAGCAGTATGCGCCCGCATTGCTACGATCGTGTGAAAATTATTGTCGACTCTCGAAGCGTCAATGTGTACGGCACTAAATAATGCATGTTACAAGTGCCAATTCGAACCAATCGAAATTAATCCCATATAGCACGAAGCTCGCTAATATTAGCATAAAATGTTATTAAAATTCAAGCCGTAAAGGTTGGGTCTGCGGCGACAACCGTTACGGCGTTTATCACCTTCATCGTTGCGCGCGTGCACGATTGTATTATGCGGACGAATCGGTATACGTAAGCGACACCATAGACAAAATGGGACTTCGATCGGATGAACGATTTCGGCTTTCTTGCCTTCCTAGAGTAACCCATCGATTCGTAGAATCTCATCCGAGTCGCTATAAATTTCACGATGAATTATATACGATTTTTATTGAGCAGATTTTTTCGCGAATCGGAGGAGCACACCCACGCCACGCAATTGACAATAGCTAGGAGCAATTGAAGATAATACGCGCGTTTGCGACATTGGCTTACGGCACTGCGTAACTCGTGTTACTTTGAAAATAAAGAAAAACATCCTTTGAGAGAGGAGGATTGTGTCTCGAGCGAGAGTGAATATTACGTATAGGTAAGTGAAGGAAATAAATTAACGACAATAGGACTTTTAATTCGTAATACCTTTTCTATAGCGAGTAATTTATAGCAACAACTTCGATATTTTTCTTACACTGTCTCAGTTTGGATAAAAATCTCGTTTTGAACTACTTTCGTCTTGGTATCGAACAAGTGCTCGAGCGGTAGCCATCCACCAACATCCGTATCAATTTCTTCATCGCAGTTGGTCTTGACGCTACCTACCTGCCGTCGGTAATCCGAGTCCGGTGCGCACGTGTTTACGTGAATTACTTGCCGCAAGTATATACGTGTACTGGCCGTGTATAAACGCAAGCGCCTGATGGATGACCGCCGAGGATCCGCTGCTGCATGGGTATCTGGACCGAAATACCGTTACTAACGAGCTATAAATAGGACACGCCTATAATACCTACCGAATCCTGTGCGTATGACGCCAGAATTTTTTTCCTCCTTCTTTCTTTTTACGCGTGTAATGCAAGCGAGCAAGCGAGCGTGATACGTATTCGCGAGAAATTATATTGTTTCGTGCACTAGCCGCACGAGGGAAAAACTAACGCTTAAGAAAATACGTTATGCCTTACTTTGTTGCTGCGGCTAATTATTAGCTTTTGTTGACCAATTTAACATTAAATTCATCTTAGACCTACGTATGATTGAGATAAATGTCTCTATCTTTTTTTTTTGACATTTTTGTGTCAAGAACTATGGAACATAGTAGTCCTCAATAATCTGTCGATATACAATAAGTAGATATTTGAAAAAGTATCATTATAAATATTGTCTCAATCTTAAGCTTAACTGGCGAACTTCAGCTTTTTAGTGTCAATAGGAATCGTTTTAAAGTTTGCAAAAAGGAGGGCTTGCCGGTGATTAACTGCAATTGCAGTAATCTTCGTTAACGACAACACCTTTCACATACGGCAACGAAAATTATACGTCGATTTTATAGGTACTAATTTAACAGCAAATACAATTAATTATCATGACAACAATTTAGTAACCGTTCCTACTTGATCACATCATTAATGAAATATCTAATTTCTTTGAAAAATAATGGTGAAAATACATCTTAACATTGATCGATTCATTTTTCCAGTAATTATCTAATTTTTAGTCGCATAGTATGTATAACGTTTAACAAATACGTCTTGAAGTGAATATTCAGAGTAATAGAAATTCTAAGAAATGTACTAATTCAATAAAGTTAACCGATATCCAGTTCATATTCATCGGTACGAATTTTATCAGGGCTATTCATTTTTCAACGCCAAGTTTTCTTAAATCAAGTTAGTGTAAATCCTCTAACAGGGTAAACACACTTTATATTAAAAAAAAAGCTTTCACGGTGCGTCGGAATGTAAATGTATTACTTACAATTTTTTGCTCCTTGAAGTTAATCACAAAATTAAACTTAGCTCAAATATTTTGTTTCTGTAGATTTTTATGATCTATGCGGAATTCACATATCTTTTATGTGTTAACATCATATAACTCTAGTTATTTTTAGATGTTCATTGTTAATTTTATTTATGGCGTTTCAAGATAATTTTATTTTTTTCCACTTTTTTAACATCTTATGAAGCATAATGAAAAAATACTTATCAATATTATTAATACGTAAAACTTTTCGTTAATCTTATGTACTCTAGCTTACAAATTTAAAAAATTTAAAATTCAAAAAATCGTATCAAGAGATTCCTATAAATTTAAAATGCCTACGTTAATGAACAGAATTTTCGTTACTTAATAAATTAATGAATAAATTTTGTACACTCGTAGCATTTTGATTGGTAAAACTTGGACATCAACCGAACCAGGATGTTGGCTGACCCAACCAACCTGGTTTATTATCTTCTGGATCCTCCCATGGATGATAGTAATGATCGTGATGCTCGTGCTCGTTATGAATTTTGGCCGGAGCCCGGATAAGTACGACTTTGTGAGGCGGTGGTCGCGTGAATATCGTCCTCAAGAACAGCATAAACAAGGCCACTTTCGCTACGAGAATACTTCTTATAAGAGATGCTTTTACGCTGGCTATTGCCATGGGTAACTGAAGAAGCTGTAAATTCATCATAAATAAAGTATTCAATATACTATTGCAGATCTCAGTGCAATGATTATGGTCTACTTATGTATGAAATAATACCTGAAATCCAATGGGTATCATCATCATGAAGTTGCGAAGGCGTTTCATAATATGTATCCTTTTTATTTCCTGACTATCTTTCTCTTTACTCTCTGGTTTACTCTCTTGATCTCCATCTGTGTAGAGAAAAGTTAATTTGATGAAAATTAGAGTAAGCCAATTATCATTGAACCAGATTTGATAAGGTGAGAATGATTATTTTATATGCTAATGTCCTTTATAAAACAAAATATATTCAGTAGCCGGAAGTAGCGTCGAAGTGTGTTACTTGCTCGATGTTTTCACTACGATTGCGGAAATTAAATTGAGATCTCTGCAGTGTCAGCAGGCGGAATGTAGTCCAATTGAAAAATCAAAAGTTACGTTTACCATCTTGACACACGACTATAAATTATTCTCTACGTGTGTATGCATATATGTAAACTGAAATTGTGCACACGGAGAAAGCAGCGGAGCTATTAGGCAAATTGAATAATTGACATGCAGGATCGATTGCATTTTTATCGCGAACAATAGCGAACATATATGTAGCTAGCTACCTTTGCCGGTGCGTGGAAGATACTTGAGTAATAGATCCTGTTGATTATCATCGTAATTGACCATGAGGCCGTACATCAGCTCGAGCCAGGGATTCGTCGATCGCGCGGTCGACTTGCCGCCGACGAGACTTGACCCATTTCCATTGCTCTCCTCCTTCTTGACGACGACACTCTGATCGTCGCATTTACATGGTAATGCCGCGAGCAGTAGCAGAATCAAGAATCCAACGAGGCAGTTGAAGCACAAGCCGTTGCCGTACATAGTTCGTTTGGGTTTGCGGAAAAGCAGCTATTCAGTGATTTAACAGGAGGCCCCGCGGGCTATTTGACTTTCCCAAGATTAGGCATTCGGTGTCGTATACTCTGCAGCTGCTCGATCAGCGCGCGAAGAGTCTTCTTTTAGCACCGAACCAGAGCAAAAGTTTGGCAATGAACATGTCGCAGGAGATAATATCACTAGCACCACTGTCACAGGTATATGGGCCAAAAACGTGCGGAACGTCACCCGAAATGTCAGATCACGAGTCACTCGGCGCCGTGTCACTCATCGAACCTCACGAAAATTCGTCTCGTTTCGCTGAATTGTTTCGATGTCACGGGGAACGATGTCTTTGCCCTCTGATCGGCAAGAGGATCGCTGTCGAATATCGACGAGAACGGTGCCGTCGAGCGTGAAAAATTTCCCTATGAAATCGACTCGGCGCTGGCGCGATTCGTACCGAAAGCCCGCGGAAAATCGGTGCGCGCGTATAGATCGAGTTCGGGCGTAGCGCAAGGACTGCGCGTAAGCGTCGTCGTGCATACGCAGCAGCAGCAGCAGCAGTGCAGGCTATACCGGCGATGACGACGACGGTGGTGGCGGCGTCGGTGCCGAGTGTGTGCATACCCGAAGAGAGCTCTATATCATAGCTCTCTCGGGCATCCGTGCGAAACGAGATTTTTCTTTTTTTTCCGGTGTGGTCTCGAGCCAGCGAGCCAGCTAGTGCAGCTCTCTTTCTCTTGTACAAGAGCGTGGATATATCCCACTCTTATAACCCGATTCGTCCTAACTGGGTCTCACTTGCACACGATCGCCGTGTACATATATATATGCGTATGCACGCGTTGCTCCCGTGTGCGCAAGTGGCTCTTTTATATATCAACAAGTGGCCGACGAGCTGCGCACGCTCGAGTTAGAGAAAGATCGCAATTATATCGCGAGCAGCGATTCGGAGAATAATGCAGCATGTGCGGATCGCGAGCATAGCGTGGCATAGCGCACGAGCCTGGATTCGAGTCGTGTGCTTCTCGTATGCATGGGAACGCGCCTGCCTTACAATGAGTTGTGTACTACCTCGTCGACTGGGATGATTAACCAAGCCTGAAAAGTCAGTCGAACTAAGTACCAAGTAGCAGCAGCTACGACCGGACAACAGCCGGCGGTAATTCGAGTAAGCTCGCCGCGCATCTTAAACGATCGTCGACACCTATCCACTAGATAGACTGCTAGACTGCTAGAAATTCTAAACATGAATAATTACCTAACGACCAAAAAATAACCATTTAAAGTGTTTTTAAAAAGTATGACCATTAATTATAGACCAGTTTGCAATCACTTTAATGCGGTTGTACCGTTTTCAGCTTCCACCACTAGATGGCGAGTATCTTTATTTCTGTAAATCTGCAAGCGGTAAAGTAAATCTAGCTGCACAAGTCAGAGCACGATTTTGGAAAAATATTCTTCTAATGTCATTTATTCTATTATGAAGGAAAAATATTTTCGTTAGCCAAAAAACTGGCCTTAAAGTGTTGAGAATTTCTACTCGGAGTTGTATAGTCTATTATTACCGAGACTTTTCTCGCCTAATATTTGACGATTCCGATCGTCGTCGTTGAGTGCTGATGTGCCTGACGTGTGCCCAGCTCGCGACCGCATGGCTTCGTTTCATGAGCTGAGCAAGTGGTGGCGATGCTCGCACTTTTCCAAGACTTCGGCCAAGTTGTTAGAATAGCTCACGAGATTCTGTTTTTTTTTCGTCTCGCTTCCTTTTTTTTCTTCGTCTCTGCACAGCTGCAGTCAAGTTTACGCGACGGTGTACCGGTAGACACGTGAGAGATCGTGCGCGAGGGTAAACACGGAGAGCAAAAAATAAAATGAGCTATACTGCATTTTGCGAAGCAGATGATCGAATTGCGCTCGTGCATACCCGAGAATCATTTTACTCTTCGAGCCAGCCTATGACTCTTCATTAATTTAATTTGCCGCGTGTATAACATGATACAGTCATTTATTGCGTGATGTTTTATGTTAGCTGACCGAAGACCGCACTCGTTTAAATTTTATAAAATTAGACCGAGTGAGAAAACAAAAAGCTAGTCATTTGATTGATAATCTGCGGTGGTTACTGCTGGGATGCCAACCTTATTTAACATCGGATGATCCGTTCATTAACAAAGTTTTAAATTATTATAACATGGACGAGGCTCTGAAAGTAACTAAGGAGATCATTAAAGTCCGCACGCACATACCTATCAGTCAAAATCAACCTTACTCGGTCAAAAATCATTCGTAACTGATCGCGGCACTTATGGCTGAAACCCTGGAAAATGCAATGGAAAGCTCGACTGCCACCTCGGAACGAAAAGCTTAACGCGCGAAAAATTTTAATTGAAGTGCGCGTCCAGCAAAAATCGTTATGCACCATGAATCTCGGATTCTTCCTGTTGGTAAAAAGCTGCTGAAGCTGCGCGTAGCTCCTCCGCATATAACGACCGGCATTGTGAATCTCAAATTGACTGCTTACGTGCGAGCTAAATCGGGAACAGACATGCGATGGGAAATTTCGTTGCGCTCGCCTACTCGTCATAGCAAGCCAAGTGAAAAGACGATTACAATTATTAGCATTTTAGTTTTACCAGGTGAGCTGATGCCCCGAACGCGCGTAATTTGCTACTACTATGGCAACGCGCATAACTATTATTCGTTCAATGATGTAGTTTAGTCGAGAATTTGTGGCACGTCGAATACACTGATTATAAAAGTACGAAATAGGTCATATATATTATTATTATTATTATGCCTATTATTCTTATTAGTAGTAGTAGTAGTAGTAGTATTAGTAGTAGTATTGACACTATAAAGAAAGAATTCATGAAAGACTTCTAGTAAATGTTCAAAATTTATTAATAATCATAAAGTAATATGTAACAATAATAACAAAGAAACAATTATAACTGTATTAATTATGTATTTACAAAAAAATTAAACTATTACAATCCACTCAATATAATAGGAGTACGAAATGAAACGAAAAAATGTCAAATAGCTGCCGTGAATTTTCAATAATATAATGTACAATTAATTTGATTTTTTAAACACATAACGGTATTAATCTAATGATAGTAAATTGTGCTTAAGGTGATGCCTTGGCCACAATTTTTACCGACCGAGCACGGAAAATGTATATTGAAATAACTTTTTTACTAGACCGATTTTCGAAAAACGGCTCTATGGAGCCCTCCGTATTGATGCTGTGAACAACTGCACCAAATTTCAGCAAATTTCATCGGATAGTTTTCCCGGAAAACAGGATCAAAATTTTTTATCCTGCAAACATTAGTCAAAAATTTTGATCCTGTTTTCCGGGAAAACTATCCGATGAAATTTGCTGAAATTTGGTGCAGTTGTTCACAGCATCAATACGGAGGGCTCCATAGAGCCGTTTTTCGAAAATCAGTCTGAAAAAAAAGTTATTTCAATATACATTTTCCGTGCTCGGTCGGTAAAAATTGTGGCCAAGGCATCACCTTAATGGTAAGTTACTTCAAAAAATTTTAAATGATCATTTATTGTCATTAATTTTCATCTGCAGGGGGAATTATAATTATTTCAATTTAAATGTATTACCTTTCGTTATATTTTTACCATAAAAGCTATAAAACAAATTTTTTAATCAATAAAATTGATTTTACATTCTATTTAATACATTCGCTATTTTACATCGACATTTATTTCTTGATAAATTCATTTACAGTAAGTAAAAAAAATTCAACAAAAACAATAATAGTGACACCTTTTTTCACATAACGCATCGTTAAGTAAACTCCCGCGAGGTCCGTTGAGTTGCATAACGAGGAGTGTGAACCTGAGAAATCATGCAATAGTCTGTCACGAGTATATATACCTATGCAGTTAGCTTAACGGTAAGACGTACGTTTGACGTACGCACAAACTCATTGTCATGATAAATTTGCGTCTAACCGAAGATCCTACACGTACATCATTAGCATTTATACAGTATTCGAAGATTTAATTTACAAAATATATTGCGACTCACAAGTTCATTTAAAATTGATTGACAAGTAAGCTTCACTCGATTCCTCTACTCTCTATAAGTTCATTGATAAAATAGTAAGTCATTTTCCCGAAAAGCTAAATGAATATTACTTAAGTACTATGCATTTGAGTATATATGGCTGTATAATTTTTACTTTTACATTAAAAAAACGTAGTGAAATCATATGAAATGATTTGAATTACGTTTCCATCGTGTGTAAAAATATTTGAGCCTCTAAGAAGTCATGAAAAATTAATCGATCATGAAACTTCAACGAGATAAATTATAAGAGTACAATTGCAAGTCTTTGCCTATCGATCACAGATTATTATTGGCGCTTTGATCAATTTTTTTTCTTTATGTAACTGTACTGCCATCATTACTATATTATTTACTAGCATTAAACATATTTTTGACAAGTGTTTTCTTATATTACAGTATTTACATTAACCGCAAGTTCGTGTACGCCAAAAATAGGATTGGTAACGCACTGAATGTAATAGGTCATTGAGCGAGAGCACTCCTCGGAACAATTAAACATTCATCATCAAATTTCAAGAAACTATAATAATTTGCGAGTGCCCCCGAGCGCTGGTAACTTGAAGAAGAAAACGTCCTCTCGTTGTTTCCTTCTCTTCTTTCTCTCTCATTGCCTAATTTTCCTCGCGATCATATCCTCAGTAGTAGTAGGGGGCCTTGTGAATGGTCGGATGCGGAGGTTCGGCTTCGTAGGTCGGGCTGACGCTGTGCCAGCCGCCGTAGGCCTGCGAGTGTGGCCCGTAGCCGCCGCCGCCGCCGTTGTTGTGCACGTGAACGTGGACCGGTGGTGGCGGCGGCGGTGGTGGTTGCCAACCGGCCGAGTGTCCATAGGAGAAACTGCCTTGATGATGATGATGTCCACCGCCCAGTCCGGCGGCGTAAATTTTGCCGAATAGCGCGCCGACTTTCAGCACGAGAAGTATCACTCCTGCGGATCGAAACGGAACTGATTTAAAATATATAAACGCAATTTGCGGTTTTCTGCCTAACGGGGTCGTGTACTAACGAAGAAACATACGCCACATGCAATGTAAGTGAGTGTGTGTGTGTTGTATGCGTGTTTGTTTCTATCCGCCTCTTCCCCTCTCTCTTTTTTAACAACGCGCCGCGAAAGCATTGCACGAGAGAAAGATTATTACATCATTTCGCCGTTCCCTTTACTCTGGATTAAACGAGCGGTGGAAAGCAAAGGAAGACCGCGAGAGGAATGCGATTTTATTAAATTGCGCCATTGAAAATTCCCACAATGTACTCAAATATCGTCGTCTCCGGTGGCGGTGAATCGGAAAATTTCATGATTAATGGTTGGCTCTTTCTTTGAAATCGAAACCAACGCGTTAGATCAATGTATATCTTGTCTCTGCGCGAGAAAGTAAATAGTTAATATTATGCATAATGTTAA